CACACACAAACACACACGCGCGCAATCGTTAATATTATATATGTTAGCATTAATACATACATAGAAATATAGGAAATTGGAGGAAAGATGCATGTCAAAAATGTGACTAATCAAATTCGAAACTCGTCTAGCATTTTCCTTGATGTGATATATTATTCTAGTGCTGTTGTATATACTATAATTATACAGTATGTAATTTTGAACGACAGACTTATTGAAGGAGGGTGGTCAGTGTTCGATTCTCGTCTCAAATAATGTAAAAAAACTATGACCTTAATTTTTCATCTAATTGTCCGATAAAATACAGTATTCATGAACACAGAGCGCAAAGCGAACTCGGAAATAGTATAATATGGTTCGATGCTAGGTGTCAACCAGCGTCTAAGAACGTATGGTCAGTTTACCGTGCCGACGCATGCTCAAGGAAGAGGAGCAGCACCATACCCAGTAGATCTACAACATGCCATCCTCGAGTACTTCGAAAAAAACCCACAAGAAAGTACTCGAAAATGCTGCAAGGCGTTTTGGTGTATTACACATGACTGTGTGGAAGCTGCTGCACAACGATGACATGTACCCTTACCATTTTAGATCCGTGCAGGAACTTGGGTTTAATGACCATGAACCTCGAGTGAATTTTTGTCGGTGGTTTTTGTCTAATTTAGACAAAAACATTTTATTTACCGACAAAGCCACTTTCACAAGAATGGGGATTTTTTATGTACATAATGAGCATTGGTGGAGTCACGAGAATCCTTGTGCCGAAATCACTTGTCGCGTTAAATAGGTAACGCTGGAAGAAGTGCCTTTAAATATCTACCGGAACTTGTACTGCCAACATGACGGAGCGCCCGCGCACTATTAGGTGCGCGTACGTGATTACCAAAACATTCATTTTTTAAATACGCAAAAATTACGATGGTCATTTCTGCACGCAAAATGTTTATTGTTTGATGCACCTAGATATTTTTGCCCGTCCTGAGCCAGATGTAAAGTATGAAGGGAAAATGCATTTATACTTACGTCGGCGTCGATCATTGACCGCGAATATGTTCTGCGATAAGCGCTAGGGTGTCGCAACGTTGCGAAATTTTTACGAATTTTTTGGAACGGTTTTGTTCGTCATTAATCAGGTTTTTTTTTTATTATTTATATGTTTTTTGGCGAAGTCTATGCATAAACTATCGGGGGTTTGAATAAGTCCCTCGTTCAAATATACATACTGTATACTAATATTATAAATGCGAAAGTAACTCTGTCTGCCTGTCTGTCTGTTTGTCTGTCTTTTCTTCATGCCTAAACTACTGAACCGATTTCTGTGAAATTTGGTACCGACATAGTTTGGAACTTGACAAGGTAGCAAGGATAGTTTGTATACCAAAAAATCTGCAGGAAGTCACTTTACCACGCGAACAAAGTCGCGAGCAAAAGCTAGTATTTAATAAAGATAAAAAAAAGTTCAAACTCTGTCACAAACTGTTTGTTTCTTTCTAAACATTTTTGTTTGATGCATATTTTCTTTTTTAGAAAATAAAACGATACAAATGAGAATTGATAATAAGCATGGCGTCTGCACCGTGGATTCTTCATACGATTTGTTAGAAGGAACTCAATATACTGTTGAAGTATGTACGCAGCACAAATTATTGTTAAGAAGGTTTGTATTTCTTTTATGTAATAAACAAGCAAACGAATTACCTGATGGTAAGCAATCAGCGCCGCCCATGGGCCACGGAAGAGTAACGAGTGCGTTGCCGACCTTACAGGCATCAGTGATTTGGATCTCCGGTACCCTCACTCTCCTATTATTTGAATACCCAAGGTATTCTAATAATAGGCTTGACGTTTCGAACCGGTTGGTTGTTGTTGGGTTGTTAATAACCTAAACAAATATACCTATAAAATATTAAAAAATATTAAATAATAAAAACCCTAAATAAATATATGTTGTTAATATGGAACGCGGAAGTTTAAAAGTTAATAACGCTATCGTTGTTTCATGCCGGTTTTCTGTGAGGCCGTGGTATATTACTCCGATCGCGCTGACCCATTCTTGTACACTTCGAACATTACGACTCATAAGAACAGACAGCACAGAAACAAATACATATATCTTCTTTTCGACTAATAACAAAAACGTTATAATTACGGCCTCACAGAAAACCGACGTGACACAACCACAGCGTTGTATTAAGCCAAGTGAGTGTGATTACCGGACGCCCAAACCTTCCCATCTCCCATTTCTCCCCAATCGCAAAACCCCTTATCTCCAAAATTTCAGCAACGCATTAGGAATTCCTTTATGTTGCTGGTGTTTACGGGCGGCGCCGATTGCTTACCATCATATATATATAGATACATACAGGGTGTAAAAAGACACTTAACGAAGCCGAAATCCACGTATTCTACGCATTATTTGGATCATTTTTTTCTTTAAGACCATAGCTGGGAGTTCACGGGTTCTCGAGATATTGAAGGTTAAAGATGCATTTTTAATTTTTAAGTGTTATTACAAAACTTTTTTCCAAACAAACATTAACATAATGATCGATTTTTCTAAATAAATTACGCATTTGAAGTTACGAACAGTAATGTACGTAATAAATAAATGCAGACCCGCACAAAAAACCTCGTGCATCTCAGTAGGATTTTTATTTTACAGAATTGTTTTGTTGTTGCGAAGTAAAACGTCGACCTACGTACTTATCACAGCGTTTTAATGCTAAGCTGTGAACCTACGCACACAATGACACGAAGCCCGTTTGCAATAAAATTATTATTTTTTTTGATACCTAAAAATAAAAGTCTTTTCCCAGTGATAATTTTAGCGTAAAGCTACTTAGTTAGAACAGCAGTATGCGTAGTTAACGGCTTCGTTAAATGTCTTTTTACACCCTGTGTATGTTAACATTAATTCATATTTTATGTTTTAGTTTCCGTGTTAACGAAAAGAGACGTTTTATTCAACTATCAAATCAATTAATTGTCTATGACAATGCTACCGTTAATTCCTCTGCTATCAAGGTTCAACATCGAGTTTATTATTATGTAGGTAACTACTGTATCTACCTATATATCCATTCTAGCGGACCACCCCCCCACATATCAAATTTCAGCGAAATCGTTAGAGCCATTTCCGAGATCAGATGTTTTTTCAAGCAGTCAGCGCCATCTGCCGGGCTCTAACGCATACAGGAAAATTCAATAAATTCGGTATAGCCGTTTAGGAGGTGTTCAATGACATACACGCGTACAGTAGAATTATATAAAGATATAATATAAAAATCATTTCCACTTTTCGTTTTAATGTTATAACTCAACAATGCCTTTACCAATTTGGTTAATTTTGGTCTTGAACTGTTCGTGGAAGTCCAAAAAAAGTTTGTGCGTAGAAAATTAAAAAAAATCTTGAAAAAGTGTACAATTGACATCCACGCGGGCGGAACCGCGGGCGGCCGCTAGTGTCTACATTTATAAAATGGATCGCCCAATTTTTGTTGGTAAGCGCATTTATAACTCAACAACGGCTGGACTAATTTTGCCAATGCTTTTTTGTTGTATTTATTATTGTTAGAAGAAGATTCTTATCAAAGAAAATATTAGTAAAGTACAGGGGATAATCGGAAGAAAAGTGACCCTTTCGTGGTGCGCAAGGCAGTTGGACACGTGCCCAGGGGGGATTCGATTCCCGAACGGGACAACTCTTTGTGTGATCCACAAATGATTGTTTTGAGTCTGGGTGTGATGTGTATGTGAAATTGAACGCACTAACGATACAAAAACCTAGGGAAAGCAAAGAGTTTTCTTAAAAAAAACTTCTTTCAGAAACTCAATGTGAAACGCAATCTACGAGGTATATGGCAATTTAAGTTTAATATAACAACGGGTCCTAAGAAGACTGTTTTATGCATAACTAATATCACAACACACACGAGTAAGTTATATATTTTTAATAAGATCACCCAAATTTTGACCTTCTTAAGCTGATGGTAAGCAATTAGTACCTCCCATGGACAACCGCGAAGACGAGAGGACTTTGTTGCGGATGTCAGAGTGCGTTGTCGGGTTTTTAAAATGTCATGGTGGCCCTTCGGTTAAATCTTTATCATGCATGAGGTTCGAGACTTGGCAATTTCTTCGACGGAAGGTGAACGAAAACCTTGCGAGGAAACCTGGACTTTTTTTTATGTAATAGCTCGGCAAACGAGCAGACGGATTACCTGATGGTAAGCAATCAGCGCCACCCATGGACACTCGCAACGGAGGAGTTACGAGTGCGTTGCCGACCTTTTAGGGATTAGGGATTTGGAGATTTAGGGATTGAGGAGGGATTGGGGAAGGGGAAGGATTGGGCCTCCGGTAACCTCACTCACACGGCGAAACACAACGCAGTGGTTATTTCACGCCGGTCTTCTGTGAGGCCGTGGTATCACTCCGGTCGAGCCGACCCATTCGTGCCGAAGCATGGCTCTCCCACACTTCATGATTATTCATGACTAACTAATTAATTTGATAATCCTTTTTTGTGTAAGAAGGGCTTTTGCTCAGTCCCACCACAGCGTTGTGTTTTGCCGTGTGAGTGAAGCTACCGAAAGCCCAATCCCTCCATCTCCCTCCGTCCCTTCCCAATCCTTAAATACCTGAAACCCTTATTCCTAAATAGCCGGCAACGCACTCGTAATTCTTTTGGTGTTGCGTGTGTCCATGGGCGGCGCTGATTGCTTACCATCAGGTATTCCGTTTGCTCGTTTGCCGACCAATACTGTAAAAAAAGTAGAGGGCTGTTATGGGCTGGCGGTTCCTTCTACCGCTTCGAGCCTGGACGCGGTAAATCATTGCTGTTGCTCCCGTAACCGTTGGTTTCCCAACTCAGATTGTTGTCTGTTTTCCTACTTTGAACAAACTTTGTTTTCAGAAGAACAGAAGATGAATTTGCCGTCTGCACCCAAACCTCCAACTCCTTGTAAGTAACTCATCTCACACTAATTTAAGATTACCTGATGGTAAGAAATCGACGCCGCCCATGGATACCCGTAACACCAAAGGAAGTACGACGGCGTTGTGGCGATGTGGAGGAAGGATTGGGATTCCGGTAACCTTACTGACGTGGCAAAACACAACGCTGTGGTTATTTCACGCCAGTTTTCTGTGAAGCCGTGGTATCATTCCAGTCGAGCCGACCCATTCGTGCCGAAGCTCGACTCTCTTATACTTTCGCCCAAGGATACCCGTAACACCAGAGGAATTACGAGTGCGTTGCCTTTTTGGAATTAGGGATCCGGATATCTAGGGATTAGGGGAAAGGATTGGGCCTCCAGTAACCTCATTCACGCGGCGAAACACAACACTATAGTTGTTCCACGCCAATCCATTCGTGCCTAAGCTCAGTTCACCTACACTTTATTTGTAATACCACATTAATATTTTAATTTTTTTTTTTCAGCTAACGACTCGAGTCTTTTACTAATAGCTCTGACGCTTTTTGGAATAATAGTGCTCTGTCAAACACTTTACATAATTTATATGAAGCGCCAAAAGTTTGCATATAAGTTTTTATAAGTGGTTACATTTCAGTCCCTTCAGCCATGCTAAGATTATTGTGAAATATTAGTGTATAGTTCGTTAAAAACAAAATTAACGTTGGTCACACTAAATACCACTTTTTTAGGTACTTCTATTGTTTATAGTGAAAGAATGCTTTTTTGGATGAAGGTAAATCACATTTTTGTGTAAGTTCATAGTTTGGGCCCGAGCTAGGTGGCCTTACGACATCCGTAAGTTGGCTGGCAGGGATAGGACGATAGCTGAAGTTCGGAGCTTAGTAATCTGCAACTGGAAATACCTATCAACATTATATTTACGCGGTATTAACGCGGAAAATTATAAGTTGAATACCTTGGTAGGCTTGACGTTTCGACCCGGTTGCACAGGTCGTGATCACAAGCAGACTGAAGACGCGATGTCACAGCTCCCTGCATTCGGGTGATGAATCTTCATCTACCCCCTTATTTTCATTTTCTACCATATTAGGCCGTCTACACACTACGCTAATTATATCCACAGATGTGTTTACCGACTTTGAAGGAAAGCGAGGTTGTGTTTTGCGAAGCACTGGATTCTCAAAGAAATGCCCAAATAATTTCAATCGGGAGGACGGCTTTAAATTGTCGTCGACGTGGAATCCAGTGCTTCGCAAAACACAACCTCGCTTTCCTTCAAAGTTATATTGTTAAGACGAAACGCGAAAGTTTAAAAGTTAGTATGGAAATACCAATGTCGAGCAGTGGACGGAAAGGGACGGATGATGATGATGATAATTTGTTTTAATCGATGTGATGAGATAGGATTGAAGTGATGAGTGTTTATCATCAAATAAATATTGGCAATCATAGCATGCTTGCATATTTGGATTTTTATTTTGTTTGCGTGATAAAATTAGCAATGTGGCAATTCGCTAAAGAGAGAGTTACTGACACGACTCAAGATTGATGTGGGCTGGGTGATCTACTGCCAAGTCTCACACAGTTACAAGTTGAGGGACCTGGTGGTAAGCAATCAGCGTTACCCATGGACTTCCTGCCAAGGGAGTTGTAAAGTGAGTCCCATAGGTTATTAGGGATTCAAAGATCTGAGGATTGAGGATGTGTAGGGGAGGAATTGGGCGGTGTAACCTCATTCACACGGCGGAACACAGCGTACCTAAGTTTTGCTTTTTTCTTTTTCTACAGGTTCTTGCAGAGATATTTCTAAACGTCCACCTTATCCTTTGCCACCGGAAGTGTACGACTATGTTGGTAAGTCCTTAATTATGCTGATTAGAATTATTATTGTTAGTTTTTCTATTGAACAAAGACTAGACAAAGGCCTCTCCTCATACGGAGAAGTTGTGAGCGTTAATCAAAAGGCGTGAATTTTTTTTCTTTCCTTTTTTAAAACAAAGTTGTCCCGTACTACGATTTTTTCCTATTCCTTGGCAACTTTTACAAACATATACAATTTTAAATACATAATATCACACTCAGACCCGGAACAACAATATGTGGATCACACAAAGAGTTACTCGGCAGCCACCGCACCAATCCGCGTGCAGCCATACTTTTATCCTATAGGCGGATGGTAAGATTTCACCCATCGAATAACTAGGTGCCTTAAGCTTATCACATGTAAAGTTGCACCCTTAGTTAATAATTAATTATTTGTTGCGACCAGCCTCTGTTTCGCACAGATATTCACTTTTGCAATTATCCTAGTGTCGAAAGGATTATTTTCCTAAGACTCTTCTGTTTTTTCTCTCATAAGAAACTTTTTCAGACGTTACCGTCGAAAAAGCAAAAAGAGTAATAGTAAATTCTGGTTATCTGATCTTGACATTATTTTGTGATTGGCAACACAGTTAGTGAATCTCCCATGTATTTTTTTTAACTACTTAGTTAATACTTATATATATACTATATATACCTAGCCAATTTTGAAATAAGGTACTTACCTTATTTCAAAATTGGCTTCTTTTCGAGTTTTCCCAAGGATTTTGAATTAACAAAATAGGTGTCCTCAAATTTTGCGCTAAGATACGCATATAAAAACTTAGGTTTTATTCGGCAATTGTTTTGTTAATGTCATATTCTTATTTCGCGCAGATGCTTCTGGACAGGGTGTTACGAACAATACATTCAACATAGCCGATGAAAGGACCCCCAATCCTGCTAGGAAAAATCCACAAGGTAAACTGCTTAATTTAGAAATAAAACGTGAGCCCGACAGAGAAGCATTTGTAGCTCTCCTGGAATCTGTTGCTTACCATTAGGTGGCCAATCTACTCCTCATAATATAAAAACATCCGTTATAGAATTCTCACAAAGACCGCAATAAAGTCAAAGGGCGCGAGTTTAGTGAGCTTTTCTTAATTTTTGCAGAGCCTACTCACCGCAGCCGCCGTGAGAGACTTGGGTTTCAAGCGCCTAAGACTGTCCATGAAAGGACTACACCTAAAATTGGTAGGAAGCTACCACCACCACCGAAAGGTAACAAGACTTTTTATATTAGAAAAAGTATGCACACGATTCTGGTGTTGGACAAAATGGTGGGATCAAATTTGGACTGGAATTGGAATCCAGATAATATTGGCACTCGCAATTCTGAAAAATTTCTACTATTTACCACCTTTGATGATTTCTACCCTGTTATTCGTAAAGTAATACGAAAATTTTTCTGACTAGCACATGACCATTTTTTGACGTGATATTCTGATGTTTTTTCAACAGTGCCTTCTCACAAGTATTTTGGGCAAGCACACAAAATGGCGAATAAAAAGATCACCCGTAATGTTACTAAGAAGCAAGTACATGGTAAATATTCTGATTATAAACATTTTGATTTCCGTACTATCGATATTGCTGCCTGCATTGTTATAGCAAAGTAGAAAACATCTATCAGCAACTCCAATCTTGTACTCATAGGTACAAGATAGTATTAGAACATTTTCCATGGTGTTTGGTGACTGGGCTTCTCCCAGTTGTACAGTCTCTTTTGTGCCTTTAAAGCTTAAGTCATTCTGTTCTTTGAAATTTAACGTGGGAAGTGGAAACTATTTAGTTTTTTTCTTCTTCTCAAATGATATCTTCTGATTTATTTCGTTGTGGGGTCCAAGACAGTCATTCATGTCTATGGGACGCCCTAGAGTTCAATGCTTCGGTGTTTTCGTGGTTACTGTATCTACTGTAGATCCTAGTTTACAGTAGTGGCGGTTTTTGGAGGTTTTGCACGGCAGCTGGTTTCCCAGACACCGCTTTAAGTGTGTAGCTGACCTTAACCAACGTAGTAATCGAAAATTGTCAATTTCAGAACTGTTGCCTCTCTCATCATCAAAGGAGATAAGATTACCAACATCAAGACCAACTCATACTGGTGTAGGCCAAGGTAACTGTTCCCTGTTATGTAGGTACTTTCAAATTTAATTTGACACCAATGACGAACGGCGAAGGAAAATATCGTGAAGAAACCTGGACTGATAATTTTTCAATTATAAGTTTAAAATCGCGAATCTGCCTCGAGTAAGCGTAGTGATTAATGCTAAAACCACGGCCTAAGATAAAATCGCCGTGAAACAACGACAGAGTTATGTTTCGCCATGTGAGAATCCTTAAATATCGGAAACACTAATCCCCAAAAGCCGGCAACACACTTGTAGTAACTCCATTGATATTACGATTGTCCATGGGCGGCGCCGATCGCTTACCATCAGGTATTCCGTTTGTTCGTTTGCCGACCTATGTCATAATAAAATATGAACACGGATATTGAAAAATATTACGGATTCATTTTATTTCAGATAGTCGACTGACAGAAAATTGGGAGTACGAGCAGTTGTCGCCTATGCAAAAATATTTATAAATCCGAACCCTGCTACTGTTTCACATACCAACGCGAAGTACACAACTACATCAGTCTTTTTTTTTCTATCAAATTATAATTAATTGTTAATAAAGATCCATAACACAGTTGTAAAATCTCGGCAAGTTGCCGTTGACATCGATAGATGGCGTTGGGATCGACTAAGGTCTTGCTATGGAGTTCGCGATACGCTAATTTTGTTGAAAGGAAAACGAGGTCATAAGTTAAATTGAAATCAACATATCACTATACTTACTTTGTTTTATTTAAAAATCCAACCTTTCTGATAAATTGGGAAGCCGTAGTCTCCTCTTTCTGTGAAGCAGTTATGCTCGCGAAAAAGGAGGCGGATCGCGTGAGGAGAGCGTTTCGCACTCGCCTCAAAGAGCCAATACACCACCACAGACGGGGCCCTAAAGGACTGATGTTCAGCTGGGGTTGCGGGGTAAGCGCAATGTGGCACCGCGGCCTCGGCCTAAAGCAAGAGAAGGAACGGGAAGGAACGGGAGGGGAGGAGGGTTTAGTCTGGTACTTTCTCTCGCCTTACCCTGAGCTGGAGAAGTCATTTGATGATTTTCCCTTGATTAAAAAAATCTTAGTAACTTACACAAATTGGTTTAGCTTCTTAAGTTTTACATCGAGATCCGTAATAAATTGACATAGATGGTCAGAAAATTTATTAGTGGATGGAAACCACGGAGTTTGAAAACAGAGATCTATCACAAAACTCATCAAATATATAAAAAACCCTGAAATATGATTTGATATTTTGTTTTATTGGCACCTCAGTTAAATTTCATAATTTCGTTTAGAAACGGTATTATTTTAAACGTGCCTATTTTTTTTTTCGTTTGGGGAAAATCGCGTGGAGTCTAGTGAAACCCCTACTGACTAAAAACTCCTCCGTTCTTCTGGTCCAGTTCGAGGCCGCGGTACCTTATTGCACTTACCCCGCAACCTCGGTAAAATGTGCCTATTTAAAATAAAATACCTAAATATGGACTTGTAATAATAATAAAAATGGCTGTCAAATGTAGCATTTACAATCCTGCTCTGCTGAGAAATAAAAGACGTTATGTTCACGTAGATATATATTATATTTTGCTATTTACAATTTGAACCTTAAATTAATACTAACTTAAGAGTCTAAATTTCAACTTTCACCAAAAAAGATGTCGTACGAGCGCAACAAGAGAGATCAGCTTTATTGTCACATGAATTTTTTATTCTATTTTCATTAATATAAAACTTACAATCGCATGAAAAATTCGAACAAGCAGCGCTGCGAATTATATAAAATGGAGTATCTCATGGGAAAATAATTACTATAGTAATACAAATAAAGTTAAAATTTATTCGACACTGAAACTGCACTGTGCTTCGGAAGCTACTTTAGTGTGAGTTGAGTGAGTGAGTAAAATCTCATTTTGATGTATAAAGGCCGGCCAATCAGGGTATGACCAATTAATAATTATGTATAGTAATTTTGAAATTTATTGTATTTGTATTAAAGATGGAAATACAATAAATAAAGATTTGTTTTACCCTAAAGATGGCTGTTGAATATTCTTTTTAAATAGTGCAACTTGATTCAATTCCTAAGTTCCTATACACAAGAGCTCTTTTCAAAAACTTACATCGAAATATTTACATGATATTTCTTGTAATATGTAGGTATAATTATAAAAGAAACGCGAAAGTTCGTAAGTATGGATAGATGCTTGTAACTCCTTCGCGTAAAAACTAGGTAATGAACGAAAGTTGCCACAGATATAGATTGATTATACATAGAAAGAATCAATCTCTCTTAGTACCAAATCTATAATTTGGAATAGCACATCTACTATCTACACTGGCAGAAGTTTATAATAGAAAAGGGTTGATGAATCAAAACAATCTGACGGCGAATATTCCATAGTTGAAAAGTCCTGTAGTCGAAACTAACAAATGCGAACCATTCTGTCGGCGAAACATCCATAGGTGAAACATTCTATCGACGAATCTCTCAAAAACGGAACGTCTTGTCGGTAAACAGTCCAAAGGAGAAACGACTGTTGGAGAACGGTTGCAGAATCTCAAATAAGATGACTCGATAAGAAAATTCTGCATAGCAAAACGGGGTGAAGAGAATTCTCTCTTTTTGGCCACCATAGATAGACCTCATCTGGCAGATACCAGTTTAACCAATCAATGTTCCTATAATAATTTAGCTCTAGCTAACTCTCTATTGGGCAAAAATCCTAGAGGTTCACATAGTAACGCCATCTAGTGCTGATCAAAATATTTCTTTTTTTTGCTGCTTTTAACGCAGGAAACGACGCAATATTTTTAACTTTGTGAGAAAACTATACAAAAACTATATAAACATATAGATGATTGGCATTCAACAACTGTGCGATTCACCCGAAACTTTCTGCCCCGGACATCAAAACTTTGGAATGATCTTCCGGCGGCGTTATTCCCGAACCGATACGATTTTCAAACCTTCAAGAAACGAGCATATTCCTTCTGAAAAGGCCGGCAACGCACCTGTAACTCCTCCGGTGTTGCGGGTGTCCATGGGCGGCGCCGATCGCTTACCATCAGGTGACTCGTCTGCTCGTTTGCCACCTATTCCATAAAAAAACTATTTACTCGACTTCTGTAAATTCTTCTAGTTTCAATTCTCGGTAATCGTCGTTGAAGGTGCATGTTCAAGATGAGGCCAGGGTTGGACTTTTGAGTTTGGCTTCAAATTCGGATCAAAATGCCGGATATCGTTATAAACAAACCGGCAAGTTTAGATTTTGTTTCACCGTGTGAGCAAGTTTACCGGAGATCCAATCCTACCCCATCATCAATCCCAAATCCCCTATTCCTAAATCTCTAAAATCCCACAAAAGGACAACGGCACTTGTAGGAACTCCTTTGATATTACCAGTGTCCCTGGGCGGACCCGACTGCTTACGATCAGGTTATCCGTCTGATAATTTGCCATAACTTACCCCTCACTTTTTTGTTGTTATGCTCATTCATGTCAAGATGAAGGCTAGATCGAGAAATCAGTAGGTATTAATTCGCATAAAATTTCAAATCAAAGCAGGACAGCCAATCAAAACGCCTTACTATTTCCAGCTTTATTATGACTTCTGCCATCTTGAGACTCGAGACCTCTTTTCATGACAACTGACAAAACGTCTGCAAGCATTATTATAAGCTATTGATATCTCGAAGATACCTATCCCCACCAAAATCTCTTCTATCTACTACTAACAATCAAAATGTAATCCTATTTACAATATCTTAAAGTACATTATATGTTATAAATGTTAGGGTCGTAATTTTTATGGGGTTTCAAAGGCTCGTAGGTCCATTCTTCGTCTGAAGACGCTTGGTTCTCGTTGTAGTAGATTTCTGAAAAGAAAAATATACAATTTTAGTATTTCTGACTTCAAAGCCTCGAACATAGACTCAAAGTTACGAGCCTTTTGGTTTTTATCGGATATATTTTGAAGAAGGTTCTAGAGAGCTAGACGCCTTGATTCCCCCTAGTTGTTTCCACCATTTTTCCACCAGACAATCGCTTCATGGATTATCCCACCTACACGCACGAAGCGGTTATAATCAGAATCGCTAAGGAGTAGAATTCTTTGGAGGAGTCTGTGATTCCCGAAGACCTGGGTGTCTTCAAAGCCCGAGTGAATAGGTTGCTTGAAAGTATGCTCCATCGTATCTCGCATCATCGCTTTCCACCAGGCGTGACAGCGGCCAAATGCCTGCCCTCTTTTGCCCCACTCGGGAGTAGCAATTCGATGATTTGACTGCACGGTTGGCGCGGTGGCTGGGCAACTGGCTGCCGCGCAACGTGTCGTGGGTTCGATTCCCGCACGGAACAACTCTTTGTGTGATCCACAGATTGTTGTTCCGGGTCTGGGTGTGATGTGCATGTGAAATTGTATGTTTGTAAACGCACCCACAACACAGGAGAAAATCCTTAAGTGGGTCAACGTTTTATAAAAAAAACAAAAGAAAAAAAATGATTATTACACCATCATCAAAAATCATGTTAGGTATTTTGTGGTCTCTATTTACCAGGGGTTAGAAGCGTGTTATTTTAGAAAAAAAAACATCTGGATAACCATGTTTGTGCTATATACGTAGATATGTATATAAAACATGAAAACTCTCCATAAATATTTCTATAATTAACAGGAGTGTACATATATCCAACTATGTACAGAAATTCACAGCACATTAAGCTACCCGTTTAGTTAAAAACCTACGACGGATTTTAGACTTCAATAAAATAACACAGAGTTGATAGTCAATTATGTTGGTGTAGGTTAACGTGCCTGGTGTCAGTATTAAAGGATAAATTGAAAATAAATATATAATTGGCCATTTACCTTCCTGTACTGGCTGCGGTTGTGGTATTTTCGGTTTTGATTTTACAGTAGGTCCTGAAAACAAGTGATAATACATTAAACCAGTTTCCGCACGTGACTTCGCCCTCGTGGTATGTTAATAAAAAGTAGCCTATGTCCTATTCCGGAGTGTATACTATGCCTGTGCCGAATTTCATCCAGGTCCGACCGACCGTTTTGGCGTGTTTGAGTAACAAACATCCAAACTTAAATATCGTAACTTACGCATTTATAATATTAGTAAGATTCATATTTACAAACGATTTCACCAAACCCCTAGCGAACGCCGGCGTTCGGGTACCTATTGTTCTTCTATTATGTCTGGAATTACCACGATTGTAAGGTGAAATGTTTTTATAATAACTATCGTGAGACATACTAAACTAACTAAAAATCGCGGGTTTCTCTCGTGTATAATTGACTACTCTGTGGTTCGAAACTAGTAGAGCTTTTCTCAATGACACACTTGAGTAACCCGCGATTTTTAGTTAAATTAGATAAAATGTTTCTTTAATTCCTAGACCGATTTCTTTCCAAGTCGTAAGTGCTTTCTTTAATTATTTAGACACTAGTGACACTGACATACGGTGAAGGAAATCATCGTGAGGACACCAACCAACTTATGATTTCGAATTATACATTTAAAATCGCCAACCTGCCTTGAACAATCTGCCAGATCCTAAACGATCGTATTATTTTTAGTGTTTATGTATACTAAAGATTGATTTGAAAAAGAGTGCCTATTATTTGCATAGATATAACACAGTGGGATTTCAGAAAACAATATTGCAATTGAAGTTAACATTTTCCTACATATAAATGACTTAAAAGTTTGTGATAATGTACAGATGAATGTTTGTTATTCTATCAGTCAAAAACGACTGGACCGATATTGGCTGAAATATGATATGTCGATAGCTGATAAATGGATAAACACAGCCTGCTTTTAATCAACATGTTACGCGGACTAAGCCGCGGGCTGAAGCTTACTTAAAATTACCTGTGTCTGTTTTGGCAGGTGGTAAGACCTAACGCGACTGAGCTGCCATCTCGCGGTGAAAATTTCAGACAAAGCCTCATTATGTGTATCTATACTAATCTATACTAATATTATAAAGAGGTAAAAATTTTAAGTTTGTATGTAGGGGGCTATCTTTGGAACCGCTGATCGGATTGCCAAAATTCTTTTACTGATAGATAGCTACATTGTTATTGAGTGCTATAGGCTAACATCACGCTATGCTTAAATGTATTTGAAAAGCGGGTGAAACCGTGCTAGAGTAGCTAGTTTTATTATGTATAGGTACTTACTGTTTTTTGCTGAACTTGGATCGGGTATTGATAAGATGGGCACTTGTTTTACTGTTGAAAAAGAAAAGATATTAAAGAGCGTTTTAGCACACGAGCTTACATTTAATTGTGAGAGAGTCAAACTTCGGCTCGATCGGAGTGATACCACGGCCTCACAAAAACTGGCGTGAAACAACCACAGTGTTGTGTTTTGCCGTGTTGGTGAGGTTACAGGAGGCCTAATACACCCCTCCCCCAATCCTTCCCCAATCTCAAAATCTCCAAACCCCAAATTCCCAAAAGGTCGGCAATGACTCCTAACTCCTTCGTCGTTGCGGGTGTCCATGCGCGGCGCTGATTGATTACCATCAGGGTATTCGTTTGCCGACCTATACCACACGAAACATACCTACCAATTTTCAAAATCAAAGAAACATTTTTAAGCAAATGTCTAAAATTTATATTTTTTTAAATTAGTGCCATAATCACACGAACCAACTAATTTTCGATTTTTTCGCAGTAAGCTATTGATTTGGGAACAAAATCTTTTTTTTTGAGGTTAGGAAATCATCAAATAATGCCCCGTGGCAGGTGAAGGAACAGGCGAGTTTTGGTCAGTAAGAGTCTGACACTCCCTCCGACCTTGGGCAAGACAAGTCAATCGATGATGAAAAAAGAGGGAACAAAAAACATATCTTCACTCACCATTATTGCGTTTTCTGAATGCTTCTTCTAACTCGTTGTTTCTTGTAGTTGTTTCTGAATAAAGAAAAAAAAATAATTTAGAAAATGTCTCCAGAAGTAGCTGGGTCCTTGCAAGAACGACTTAACACGTTGAGGCCATGGCGGACAACATGTGGGCCACACTAGCGGAGGATCTACTGTATGTGCATCCATCAACTGTAATCTGTCGGCAGTCAATGACTTAGGCAAAAAGTTTAAGAGTTTGCTTCGGCACAATTGGGTCGGCTCGACCGGAATGATACCATGGCCTCACAGAAAACCAGCGTGAAAAATACATGTGTTATGTTTCGCTTTTTAAGTAGGGTTAGCAGGGGCTGAAACTTCATTCCCGCATCTCCAAGTCTATCAAAGTCTGATATGTCATCTCATGATATCATCATCTCATCATCATCATTATGTCATCTCTGATATGTCATGTCTGTCTGATAACAAAGATAAGATGCCAGATAGTTGGGTTGGCAAGGTTATTTTAGAAGTGCGACTAACACAAAACTTGAATTGCCATCAGAAGTGAGCAGTTGTCAAAATTTTACTGCGGTCTCATTTATTAAAAAGGCTAGGTCGTCAACTAATTGGTAAAACAATCTAATTAGCTGTGAAATGTCTAAGTCAAGGCAATTACAATCTGAGACTGAAATATAATAATATTTTTATAAAGAAAAAAACGTTGCCTCCACAATACGATTTTCTCCTGTGTCATGGATGCGTTTACAAATATACAAATAAAAACCTGTAACAACAATTTGTGGATCACACAAATTGTGACTCATTGCACAGCAGCCTGTTGCCCAACCACTGCACCAACCGTGCAGCCATTCAAGCTTTCAATCACGGTAATTCGAGACACAAAGGATGTGCGAACGCGGTTTCGCTTTCGGCTTGATGAATTAAAAAATAATACATACCGATTCCTGCCTGTCTTCTTTTCAAGACTTGCTCCAATTCGTTGACTGGTGCTACAGCAGCTGAAAGAAAATAAAACATGTTAAAGGCTGGGGATAATTATCTCCCAAACTATAAAACGTTAGCTAAGGAGGATAACTATAAATAAATTTATAAATAACCTTTTCTATGCAAATTTTTATGCTGGGTTTTGTTCTAAGACAGTCACCTAGCGTTTAGAACTATTCTTTAAAGGCAAGCTTGATAACAGTATCAAATTAGAAGGGGAAACAAAAAATAAAAAGACCTCTCCAATCTTTAAGTCACCAGGCACTCCAAGGCCAAGCATGGGGTCAGGGCTGTTTCGCGGTCTCGGTCAAGAGAAGGAACAGGGTGGTTTTTAGTCAGTAAGTCTGACATGACTTCCTCTCATCCCACCCAGGGGGGGGGGAAGTTTGTTAATGTTTTTCTCACTTGAAAATAAATAAATTATTCCACGGACGTGGCTGAGCCTAAACGCCTTTAAATGATTTTTATTTTAATTTCTTTGAAGTGTTATTGGATTACTTACTTTGGGGCATTTGTGGTTTAGGAGTGACGGGAGGCCTGACTCCTCTTCTGGCTTTCAGTGTATCTTCCTTCACGTTGACTAAGTTCGCTGTCGGGACCTTTTTCGGAGGCATCGGTAGTCTAGCTGTAAATTAAATTGCATTCATCAGTATCGCAGCTAAGTGGCTGAATTAGCAATCCAACATTTGAGCACTTATTCACTTACTTAGTTTCGCAGACGAACAGACTGATAGACTATACTATTATAACGATTCCAATATTTCGTTTAGTTAAGATCGTTTTTGACATTAAATTGGATACCAATTTTGACTTTAAAGTTTGGTTCCCAAAACATGTATTGTGTCATAGGTTAATTAAGGAAAACGTACAACGGATTTGGATTATTTTTCCTAAAACCAATCTTTGGTTTTGTAGGCATAAAGATTTTTGACTTTAAACTTGATGTGAATTTTCAAAAGACCTTCATCCTAAAACTTATGTCATGGACTTAGGAAAACGTACGTTGTTACGAATCAAGTGTGGGAAAGCCATGTTTCGGTACGAATAGGTCGGCACGACAGAAGTGATACCACGGCCTCACAGAAAACTGGCGTGAAACAACCTCAGCATTGTGTGTCACCGTGTGAGTGATGTTACCGTAGGCCCAATCCTTCCTCAATTGCTAAATTCCTAATACCCTTCTCCCCAATACCCTAATGCCCAAAAGGTCGGTAACGCACTCTTCCGCAGTTGCGGATGTCCATGGGTGGCGCTGATTGCTTACCATCAGGTAATCTGTCTGCCCGTTTGCCGACCTATCACATAAAAAATAGTTTAGAAAATTCTTTACGGACTAGGGTCCTGGGTGCTCTCAAAAAATTACGTGAAACGGGTCGCTATTGAAATCAAGGACATGATTTTTCAACTTACGTGGCATTGCATTACTGGTTACCGGCGGTGGAGGTTCGTATGTGTCCATACCCTCAGTCATTTCTATAAAACAAAGGAATGTTTGAGTGTGGGAAAGCTAAGCTTCGGCACGAATGGGTCGGCTCGACCGGAGTTACGACGGCCTTACAGAAAACCTGAAAACCACAGCATTGTGTTTCGCCGTGTGAGTGAAGTTACTGGAGGCCAATTCCTTCCCAATCCCTAAATCTCCAAAACTGGAACAGACAGGCAACGCTTTCGTAATTCCTACGGTATTGGAGGGGTCCAAAGGTGGCGCCTATTGCTTAACATTAGTAATAATATGACGGCTCGTTTGCCGTTCAATAACATGAAAAATATACATTAAATTTATTTTGTTATTTTTTTTTCACTTACGTTCATAAACTTCAAAGTTATCTTGAGGTGGAAGTGGCAAAGGAGGTCTGCTCGCCATGTCACGTTCTGAAAATAAAAAATATGTAAGTATGTATATCACATCATCAACCTATAAGTGCCCACTATTGAATAAAGGCCCTTCTTTTTACAATGAGAAGGTTTGAGCATTAATCACCACGCTCGCTCAAGGTGGATTGGCGATTTGCAACTTATGATAAGAAATGATTAGTCGTATTTTTTTTAATAATAGAAAATACTTGTAACTCCGTAAAAGTCATATTGGTACTTGAAAGTATTCGAACGGGCACGACGTTTTAAAAATATACATATACTAGCTATTTTCGCGTGGTCTCACCGGCTGCTCGGCTCCTACAGATCATAGCGTGATGTTAGATAGAACGACAGAGTTTATTTGTCACTGACACTCCCCTCCTCCGGGCATAACAATCGTCTAAACGATAGAGTTTTCAAAAAGATCAGGTTAACAGCCTCCTCTGAATTTATCTTAATCCTGAGAAATTTCGATCGCCAATCTGAACGTGGGAATTGTGCCAAAAGACTTCTGACTTGTGTTCTTGTGTGTGTTGAGGATACCAAAGAGAAAGTAAAAGCCAAAATAAATTATTCCAAGGAAACCATAAACGTCAAAACAGAATGAGTCTGTCAGTCTGTTCGTCAGTGAAGCTCGGTGCTCGTTCCAAAGTGTAGATTCGAATGGAGAAGAACTAGCAAGAAACTCCATGCCTAGTGCAGAAGTGGTTTCTTAAGGGCTGGTGATGGCAATAATGATGACGAATACAAACCTGTCTGTCTCGGGAAGGAAGGTGGCTGGTCCATCATTGGGCTTCTAGAAGGATGATTGAGGGTCGCTCCATGCATCGGTTGATGCATTCCCACATTCCGTCCTATCTTTGGTGTACCTTAAAAATAAATTATTTTTTATAACATAATTGTCTAGATTATGTTGGATGATACTGATTACTAGCTATGGTTGTGTAATAGAGCAAGTTAGATATAATATTTCCGGACTCTTTGTAAGCTTTAGAAAATCTGATAAACAGAAATTTGCTATTTTTCTTCTACACTATAACACGCAAAATAATTGTTAGGCAAAATAAATGCGACTGCTTAACCAACAAGGCAGTTTTAAATAGTAAAGTGAATAGTTTTAAGTAAATTTTTGGATTCTAATAATAAATAAAAAAATAAAGACTCACTAGGCATCGTGGATATGGCTGGCAGATTTGGAGGAAGAAGTTGTTTTCGACCTAGAAAAAAGAAAAAAAATGAATAAATTACATAGCTCAAATTAGATATGTTTATGTATTTGTATTAACTTTATCATCTAGACAATAGTATGACCACTGATTGCAGCTGATATTCGATAAATCACGCTTAAGCCTTTTTGATGGAATAGTTAGTTAACGAGCAGACGGATCACCTGATGGTAAGTGATTTGCACCGCTCATTGACACCTGCGTCACCAGAGGAGATACAGGCGCATAGCCTGCCTTTTAAGAAGGAATACACTTGTATCTTGAAGGTTTAAAGGTCGCATCGGGTCAAAAATACCGCTGCCGAAAGATGTATCCTAAGTTTTGCTAAGCGAGGCATAAAGTTTCGCGACAATCGCACGGTTGTTGAGTGCCAACTATTTATGTGATGGGGATGAAAGTGCTTTCGCGTAGGTTGAAACCGAACAATTCTTCGGACTCCCTGTGGTATAGGTAATAGAGAATACATAGCGAGGCTACATCTCTATGCAGTGCCAAAGAGTCCAGTCGTTTGATATTCAGAGCAGTCAATGATTCGAATGACCATGTGACACCTTCTTTTCAACTGTCACGTTGATGATCTATCGGAGCCAATAGACCACCATACAGATGGGGCCAAATAGGGATAATGTTCTGTACGGGTTTCCGGGGTAAGAGCAATAAGGTCCACGGCCTCGGTCTGGAGCAGGAGAAAGAACTGGGGGTTTTTAGTCAGTAAGAAAATGACAGCATGGTCAACTGACCGTGCAACTGACTACGGAATGGTTAACGCACCCACAACACAGGAAGAAATGATAGAGTGAGATAACGTTTAAAAAAAAGGAGTCGTTTGATCATTTTCCCAATCAAAAAAGGTCTTAGCCAACCAGAATTTGACACCGCAGTTAACGAATTTGTGTGCTCCACAGATTGTTGCACCGGATCCGAGTGCCATGTATATATTTGAGCACCTAAATACAACAAACACACGAAAAAAATCGCCATGTTTAACACAATTTCGAAAAGCAAAATTCCTAATGCAAAATGTCCGTCGTAATACATACCACTGTCAGTTATTTGAATATTTGGTGCTTCGTAAATAACACTGTCTCTGCTTTCAACAGGTTCCACTTCCTTGATCTTCTTTTGTCGAGGGTTCGAACAGTATCGAGCTGGAAGAAGAAATATCTTTTTCAGAAACTTTTTTCGTCTAACCTTTGGCTGAGTAGTAGAATATATATGTATTTGCCACCACCCTTATTCTCCTGGTTGATATCGTAAGAGCTTCTTGCCTGGCAGAAGTACTTTCTAATAAAACTGAATTTGTTTAGTCTTTGAAATCTTCGATGACTAGCATGAGAATGACCTATTCACTGTAGGTGCGTAGTGCAATTTTGGACCGTATCGACTTGTTGATGTGATATGATTTTTACTTGTTTTTTAGTGTAATTAGATCGGTTCGATGATGGACAATGACGATACCTAATCATGATGATGGAGGGTATACAAATCTTTTGATAATATAATCATTTGATTCTTAATGATGGTGAACCATCAAAACATGGTAACCAAATTACTCTTGCTGAGTAAATCCACAATTTCCTTCTTCTGTTCCAAGCCGGGGCCGCGGTAAATTATTGTGATTGAACCCGCAACCCCGGATTCTAAAAGAGAGCTAATAGTCTGTCTCACATAACGAATCTACATTTAAAGGAAACCTTATCTTTACCTGGTCCCATCCCACAACCATCAATCTTCAAATCACTCACACAATCCAATTTTAAGCGTACTTGTAAATCTTTTGGTGCTGCGGATATCCAAAGGCGGTGCCGATGGCTTACCATCAGGTGATCCGACTGCTCTTGTTTTTAATCTATATTCTTCTAAATATGTATTTGGAATGTGCTTCACCAACAGACCGTCTGATGAAATGAGAATTGAGTGCTTTGAACTTCATCATATGATACGAATTATCTATACTAATATTATAAAGAGGTAAAAATAGGTGTGTATGTAGGGGGTAATCTTTGGAACCGCTGGTCGGACGGCCAAAATTCTTTCACTGATAGATAGCTACAATCTTCCTGAGTGCTATAGGCTATAAAATATCACGCTACGATTAAATAGAGCCGAGCAGCGAGTGAAACCCCGCGAGCGTAACTAGTGTAGATACTAAAAAAGTGATCGCAAAGCTTACCCCTGTCACTTTGATCCGATTCAGCTTTCTTGGACAAGTTGTTATGGGCGTGCAGTCTTCGAGCTGCAAAAGAAACAATATAAGTAGATTTATCTTTAACTATACCACTGGCTGTGTTCAGCAGAATACAATTCCCTCATTGCATTTCACCATTTCCTTCCAAAAATTGTCTTTCTCAAGGTTGCTGAGTTTTGTGCTTGTTAAAGCATCCATGACACAAACCGAATTCCTATAATGGAAAAGTGTTAGCCTTTTTATCACTACGTAATACAAAGTCAATGTCTCTGTCCCAATATGCCTTAATATTTAAAACTTCGCAACTGATTTAGTAGAGTAGGCGGCGCGACGTCGCCGCGTCCGCGTACGCTGCTCTTGAGGAAGAACCCCTCTGTGGTTCGAAACTAGTAGAGCTTTTCTCAGAATAGACACGTGAGTAACCCGCGATTTTTAGTGGATTTAGTAGAGTTTTTCTCAATTCAACTGAGAAAAGCTCGACTAGTTTCGAGTTACACCGGGACTCTTAATCGTGAGCAGCGTCCGCGTTCAGTTTTTTTAAATCATATAAAGTAGTGCTTGATTGGAATCCCACCTGATGGTAAGCTGCTTGAACCACGTGATTAAGTCGTTATCCATACTTATATTATAAAGAGGTAAAATTTTTAAGTTTGTATTTAGGGATAATCTTTGAAACCGCTGGTCGAATTACCAAAATTCTTTCACTGATAGATAGCTACAATGTTTCTGAATGCTATCGGCTATAAAACATCACGCTACGATCAAATCGAGCTGAGCAGCGGGTAAAACTGCGCGAGAGTAGCTAGTTTTTAATAAATTTTGTCTCACTTACATAGTTACTATTAAAAAACACTAAAACATGTCTTACCTAAGGACTTCAAGTAGAAAATATAAATAGCTTGTCCAATTATAATGAGGAATGCAAGTGCTCCCACAGCACAACATATAATGATGAACTTAGTATCTGAAACGAAAATCTATATATAGGTATATAAAAGAAAGTCGTGTTAGTTACTCCACTTATAACTCAAGAACGGCTGAACCAATTTAGCTGAAAATCGGCAGGGAGGTAGTTTAGAGCTAGGAGAAGGACAGGATAGAGTAGGTTAGGTAGAGTAGGGTAGGTAGAGTAGAGTAGGTATTGTAGGGTACATAGAGTAGGGTAGGTAGAGTAGGGTAGATAGAGTAGGGTAGGTAAAGTAGGGTAGGTAGGGTAGGTAGGGTAGGTAGAGTAGGGTAGGTAGAGAAGGGTAGTTAGGGTAGGAAGAGTAGGGTAGGTAGAGTTGGGGAGGTACTCAAATGACGGGAGCGACGCCGCGGGTAAGAGCTAGTATACAATATATTAACGACTATATAAAAACGTATGTGTGGGACAGCCAAGCTTTGGCACGAATGGGTCGGCTCGACCGGAGTAATACTACGGCCTCAAAGAAAACTGGTGTGAAATAACCACAGCGTTGTATTTCGCATTGTGTGTGAGTTTATTGGAGGCCCAATCCTTTATCCCCTCCTCCAATCCCTAATCCCAAAAATGCCGGCAGCGCACCCATAATTCATCTAGTGTTGGAGGTGTCCATGAGCGGTGCCAATTGCTTGCCATCAGGTAATCCGTCTGCTCGTTTGCAGTCCTATCACGTTAAAAATAGATTGTCCTTTTTGCTAAATCTCTTGCATCTTGGCCCTATGGATTGGGTCACTCTCTGATAAATCTGAATCTTTAAATCTGTGATCTTTAGCTTGCCAAGCAATTATATTATAAGTAAAAAGGTGAAGATAGGTCATAAGCGCTCAGCAAGTGATACATTAAAATGTGGCTAACTAGCCCCACTTTTTCATATTTGTCTTCTTCACTCGTGATTATTGAATCATGTCATCCCACTTTAACGTGTATCATACGATTTATTCAGGTGTGCCCTTTTTGAAAATCGAATGTTGTTTATGTAACCTATCTATACCATTTTACTTATAATATCATTGTTGCCAAGCATAAAAATAATGGCATACCCTCTTATGTCGAAGACAGCCTGTTCATAGTTTAAGAGTGGTAGATGGATAAAATTTGGGTACCTAGTCTATAAGTTATTTTTCATCCGTCTGGTACTTTTTAAAATGATTAAGAATTTTAAAACTTATATTTACCTATTCTCGTACCCTCGCTCCATTCTGTAAAGATAAAAAATACATTACACCACTTGTTGAATGTTCCTAGAAAGTTGAAAGTACTTTCGAACGAACGCCGCAGGGAAAGAGCGTTCATTAAAGTTCGTTGGTGAATGGCCAATCTGGAAGACTGGTGATGGTGGAGAACTATGTTCAGAAGAAGGCGATTTTTAACTGAAATAATGATGAAGTGTAATACAGGAAAGCAATCGGCCCAGGAAGACTGGAAACTCTCTCTCTCTTTACTTGGCAATCATTTTTGTGAACAGTCTACCAGGCAGCCAGTTTTTTTCTTAAACGTTGCGGTAGTTGGGAAAGGGTTATAATATGAGTGTGGGAGAGCCATGCTTCAGCACGAATGGTTTGACTCAATCGTAGTGATACCACGGCCTCACAGAAAACCACCATAAATCAACACTAACGTTGTAATTCGTCAAGTGAGTGAGGTTATCGGAGACCCAAATCTTCTCCCTCATCATCAATCCTCAAATCAAATTCTTTATTTCAAGTAGACCACAACAGGCACTTTTGAACGTCAAGCAAAAAAGATATCATAAGGTTCAACTTTATATGTGTCAGTCTGTCCGTCTGTCCTCTAGTGAAGCTATTTGCTCGTTCCAAAGTATAGATTCTTATGGAGAAGAACGAGCAAGAAACTCCATGGTTACTCTTTTTCAATCACTTTTTACAATGCATTGTTACATAATTTACATAGTACCATTATGTGAGAACAGTGTAACACTAGTGTTTAACCAAAGGATCCGAAAAAGAAATGAACCTCAAGGACAGCAACTTTAGACAGTATCAAATCCGTTTTAATCCACATGAGGCCGGCAACGGACTTGTAGTAACTCATTCGGTTATACAAGTGTCCATGGACGGCGCTGATTGCTTCACACCAGGTAATCCATTTGCTCGTGACATGAAAGAAAAATGAGCCATTTGAGGTCACCGGAGTTTCAATGTGCAAAAACCTGTCTTCAAATCCTAATGAGGCCAATTGACGCATTAACAACAGCCCTGACTTCGATTAATAATCATGTAGCGACATCTATCGCACAACATTGTTATAACAAAATCCCAGGCGAAATACAACAATTAAATGAAAAAAAATTTAAATTATGTGTAAAGAAAACTTTATGTAGAAAAGCATACCACACACTGAATGATTACATTGTAGATAAATATGCTTGGAGACATGCTGGTCCTGCTCCACAGGATAGCAAACCTACACCAAAATAAATAACGTTCCATTGGATTTTGCTTAAACGGGACTTCTTCATTTTAGTGAAATTGCATTATATTGTATAACTATAACTTGATGAATTTGTAAATGTGAGTGCCCTGTAACCTATTATAATTGGTTAGACTAGCAGAATGTCGGTCCTTATAACAGCTTGGAGTTGTCATGCTCACTGAAAGGTCGCACTGGCGGTGGCATGGGCGCTGGATCGCTTAATTCCCTATAATATGGTTGAGTTGGGCGATGCTGGTGTACGTGTCATGCTCGTGAACGGGTGCCGTCAGTTGGGACTGGTCAGCTCCAGACTGTCTATTGTCCTTAAGGTTACTTTATTTTTATATTTGAATAAATATTAGTGTTACACTGTTCTCACATAATTGAACCAACTGTTTGTAAAAGGAATCTGTATGTGAAACTGATTTAAAAAGAGTAACCATGGAGTTTCTTGCTCGTTCTTCTCCATCGGAATCTACACTTTGGAACGAGCAAATAGCTTCACTAAGAGGACTGATCGACAGACTGACACTATTTAAATTTTGTTTGACGTTCAAAAGTGCCTGTAAAGGTCTAATTGGAATAAATGATTTTTGACTTGTGGCTTTTTTGACATTAACAACAGCACCAATCACGTGCAAGATTCTACATCGCGGTATAAGAGTACTCAACGCAATTAGAACCGATACAAAAATCATGACAACAACTGTTCGGCAGTAGCCCACCAGACATAACACCGGTCTGGTTGGAGGAAGTCTTTACTTTGAGAGTGGAAGAGCCATGTTTCGGCATGATCTGGAACAATACTGCGGCCTCGTAGAAAACCAGCATGATACGACGCCTACGTTCTGTTTTGCCGTGTGTGTGTAGATTTTTTATGGAATAGGAGGCAAACGCTTGCGGATCACCTGATGGTAAGCGATCGGCGCCGCCCATGGACACCTGCAACACCAGAGGAGTCACAGGTGCGTTGCCGGTCTTTTAAGAAGGAGTACGCTCGTTTCTTGAAGGTTTGAAGGTCGTATCGGTTCAGGAATACCGCCGCCAGAAGACCATTCCAAAGCTTTATCCCCTTTTTTCTTTGAAGGCCCATCTTACTAAAGAAGGCTTAATCTCATATCTTCAAATCCCTAACTTGCAACTGGTGTTGCTGAAGTTTATGGGCGGCGCCGATTGCTTACCGTCAGTTTGGTAGTTGATCTCAAAAAATATGCTTACCTACAGTCACGTCGGTACGGCATGCGACAGGTGTGTAAACCGTTTGAGTCCCCGGTGGATACAAAACTTTTTTAACGTTTGGGAGGAAATGGGTATTATCTTGATGTATGTAAAATTCAAATTCCCATGTACCTTCCATGTATCGATTGACTATTGTTTTCTGGAAAATAACAAAACATTAAATTTAGAGTGGGAGAGCCATGCTTCGGCACGAATGGGTCTCACAGAAAACCAACGTGGAACAACCACAGCGTTGTGTTTCGCCGTTTGAGTGAGGTTACCGGAGGCCCAACCCTTCCCCTGTTTCCATCAAGGGATGGAGAAGGATTAGGAACGCTAAATCCTTAAATATCCGAAACCCTTATCCTGAAAATGGTATTGCGTGTATCCATGGGCGGCGATGATTGCTTACCATCAGGTTATCTGTATGCTCGTTTGCAGACCTATCACATAAAAAATATTAATATATTAACTGTGTTATAGTTAATTATTTTTTGACGTGACAACTGTCTAATAACTCGATTACGGGTTGCAGGCTCGAAAAGATGACGCCATTCTCCGTCGCGTTCCGCAAGCGAGTGCGCGACATGAAAGAGCGAGAGGCATGATAGGCTCCAGCGATCGGCTCAGTTAGCTTCACAGATTTCTGTAAACTAGTCAGAGAGTTCAGAGGGCCTACTATGACGTCTTAAAGCGTCAAACTTTCGGGCGAGAAAGAAGGATGGAGCTATACACCTTTTAAAGCTCCATCCCTCTTTCTCGTCCGGAAGATTTTCACGCTTTAACACGTCATGGTAGGCCTTTTTTTTGTGCGGGGAAAATCATCGAATGACTTCTCCTGCCTAGGGTCGGGCGGGAGGGAGTGTCAGACTCTTACTGACTAAAAACCCCCCTGTTCCTTCTCCTGCTGAACATCTGCTGAACATCAGCCCTATGGGGCCCCGTCTGTGGTGGTCTATTGGCTCTTTGAGGCGCGCGCGAAACACTACGCGCCGTACGCTCGGGTCTGGTTCTGGTCGGGCGGCGAGCTACCCTTACTCGCCGTCCGCAGACCCGCGCTTACGGTGGCCGGAGATCATCTCTCGGTCATGATCCTACAGTTCGTTTTACCGTCTACGTTTGACGTTGTGACGTCAAAGCTGTCCGTAAAACGGCTTTGCAAATATTCAATTTTTTTGAGGCGGGAATTTCGAATGAGTTCCTCTCTCGCCTTAAACAACTACAGCCACATGAGCGAAGGTGAAGACCCAATCCCGCCCTCTCCCATCTTCAATGCCTAAATCTCCTATCCTTAAACCCCTAATCTCCAGAAGGCTGGCAACGCACTTGTAACTTCTTTGATGTTGAAAGTGTCCTTGGATAGCTCCATATGCTTACCTTCAGGTGATATACAGGGTGTCCGGTAAAGAACGGATAACCTTGAAATGCCGTTTAGTGTATCCTTTGGCCATTCAGAAAAAACAAAGAAAAGGAAAGTATCATAGGTAGTACCTAAATTATTACGTCTTGAAGTAAAAGAACTGGGGCTAGAGGTAATACAAAATGATCCTTTAACATTTACGTTCATTACATTACTGCATAACCACGATGATTAAACATTGCTTTAAAAATAAATATTGCACTATTTGTTCATAATAAATTAATTTGCAAGTTTTTTATAAAATATTTTTTTTTCGTATTTTTTTTGCATATTTTTTGAATGGCCATAAGATATACTTAAAGGTATTGCAAGGTTATCCATTCTTTACCGGACAAACTGTATATTATCGTTAAAACTTATATAGTATATAATTACGATCAGTTTAGTAATAGTTTCCTTGTGATTTCGCACATGATGTTTATCCGTGTTTACTTAAACTAGAGCTAATTAAGAAATAAACAATATTCTTACATGATTCTTGTCATTTTTCAACGAGTTGTCGATAACGAGTGTTTCATTATTCGGTGTCTTTAAACGCCACCTGTAAAATAAATATAATTATTTTACACAAATTTAAGAATTTTTGTTTCATTTTGTGTAACCGAAAAAATGTCGTGGTGGCTCGGAGGTTAAGGAGCCCGCTTCTCATGCATGAGGGTGTTTTTTTTTTTGTTGTGAGGGGAAAATCATCAAATGACTTCTCCCGCCCAGGGAGGAAAGCGGGAGGAAGTGTCAGACTCTTACTGACTAAAAACCCCCTGTTCCTTTTCCTGCTCTGGGCCGAGGTACCTCATCCCTCCCTAATTCCTAAATCTCCAAAATTCCTAATCCCCTAAAGGTCGGCAACGCTCTTGTAACTCCTAAGGTTATTGCGGGTGTCCATGCGCGGCGCTAATTGCTTAACATCAGGTAATCCGTATGCTCGTTTGCCGACCAATCACCTTGTAACTAAATAAATAAATTAGGGATTTGAGGCTTTAGAGATTGGGGGAGGATTGGGAGAGGGGAAGGATTTGGCTTGCAACAGTCTCACTAATACGGCGAAACACAACGTAAGCGTTTTCCTCACGCCGGTTTTCTGTGAGGCCGTGGTATAACTCCGGTGGAGCCGTTCCATTCGTGGCGAAGCATGGCTCTCCCACACTTAAGTCCCATGCAAAGAAGTTGTTGTTAAAGGGCACCAAAATCGGCTCCTTCAGTATATCCCTCGTTTAATCTACGCTTTATAACGATAACGGAGATCATATAATGATAACGGAGAACATATAATGATAACGGAGAAATTGTCACTTACCAGCCGTGGTTAATAACAGGCGTCTTGGGCAGGTCTATAGTCAAATTTTGACCTTCGATAAATTTGTAATTAGGTTTTTCTAAAAAACAATCAGCAGACCCGCTAGGTAAATTTATTATTAAAATTCCATCACCTGCAAATAAAAAAGAATATTACGTTTCATCTATACTAATATTATAAAGAGGTAAAATTTGTAAGTTTGTATGTAGGGGGTAATCTTTGAAACCGCTGGTTGGATTTCCAAAATTCTTTCACTGATAGATAGGTACAATATTCCTAAGTACCATAGGCTATAAAACACCACGCTACGATTTAATGGAGCCGTTCTGCAGGTAAAACTGCGCGAGAGTAGCTAGTAATAATATAAAAAAAAAACTAATTAGAAATCCACTTAAGCCACTTGGGAAATGATTGATCTCCCGTAACCTTATATCGATGAGGCTGAAGAGTGAAGATATTAAAACCTCTTTGGATGATGGGAGCGTCATTGAACGAAGCGTCATGTTCTTGGAGAGAACATCCATTTCAATGATTCCGATGTAAGCGGGCTCTTGTTTATAATATCGCTATAAAGTCATTGATTATATTTAATAACTAATTTTCTCTCATTTAAGCGTGGAAAAGCCATGCTCCGATACGAATGTTGGCTCAACCTCAGTCATACCATGGCCACACAGAAAACCGGCGTGAAACAACCATAGTGTTGTAGGTTACCGGAGGCCCCATTCTTCTCCGCCCCTAATCCCTAAATCTCCAAAACCCGAATCCGCAAAAGGTCGGTGACGAACTCGTAACTCCTGTTGTTGCCGAGCGAACGAGCAGACGGATTACCTGATGGTATGCAATCGGCCGCCCATAGACACCCGTAACTCGTAAGGATTTACGAGTGCGTTGTCGGTCTTTAGGGGATTTGAGTTTTGGAGATTGAGGATGGATTGAAGAAAGTTGGGGGAAGGGGAAGAACCTCACTCACATAGCGAAACACAACGCTGTGGTTGTTATATGTCTGGTGGTTTTCTGTGAGGCCAGGATACCACTCCGGTAGAGCCGACATTCGTGTCGAAGCATGGCTCTTTCACGCTTAAATTAGGTATTAAATATACTCAATAACATTATCGCGATTTTATAGACGACAGCCCGTTCATCGGGATCTTTAAAATGGATGTTCTCTCCAAAAACACGACGCTACGTTCAATGATCCTCCCAACCAAAGAAGTTTACATATCATCACTCTTTGCTAGGAGGTTTAAAGATTTTTGCTTTTGACGTCATTCAACCGACCGATGGCCGACTTATTTGTGGCGAAGAATGGTCCTCCTACATTTAACCTTATATAATACGCTCTCTTGATTATAATAATAAGCATCGTGTAATACAAATGTGCGTGTTGTCATGTACATAGAGTTTGTCACAATTTAATACGCGTGATTCAGTATCAGCGGTTTATTTTGAGGATACTGTAAGCGGTAAATCCACATAAAATACAGCAAATGGATATTTTCCTACATTTGATTGTTTTCATAGCGCCTCTTTAAATATTATTTCGAAAGTTGACAGGCACAGTTTTGTTTCTTTTCAAAAATGGAACTTATAGGTACTTGTTGAACGGTTCTTATAGGTATATGAGGGTGTGGGTTCGAAACCTAGCAAGTACCGATGTGACTTTTTCCGAGTTATAATGTACTTTCTATGATTATTTAGACACCACTGACATACGGTGAAGGTAAACATCGTGAGGAAACATGCACTTATAATTTCTAATTAAAAGTTCGAAATAGCCAACCCGCATTGAGCAAGCGTGGTGAATAATTCTCTAACCTTCTTCGTACGAGAAGAGGCCTCAGCTGTGGGCACTTATAGGCTGATGATGATACAGAAAACAGTAGGGTTTCGTGTTATTCCAGATTATTATAATAAATCTCTGAGACGATTTTGATCATTAAGGCTGTTAACCCTTAAGGGCACACTGTTATAATAGGAACTGGGAAGCTCTCCTCTTTCTACGAAGCAGCGATACTCGCAAAGATCTTCAGCAACCGCAACTCGCTTACGGTAGCTGGATATCGTCCGCGTCTGAGGGAGCTAGCCTTCTTACGCCCCAACCGCCGTTGTAAGCGACCCTCCGGGTGTCGGGAATCAAGCGATGATCTCCGGCCACCAGACCAGAAACAGATCCAAGCGTAAGGCTCAAAGAGACGGGGCCCCTCAGAGCCGATATTCAGACGGGGTTACGGCGATCTCGCTTTGGTTACGAGACAGAGTCGTTGATGATTGTATGTCTTAAAATAAAAAGAAACCTACACATTTGACTCTTGACAGAGTGCCGGCAGTGCTAGTTCTTCTAAATGGTGATTTGCAACCCGCCTATCAAGCATAGAGATTTTAGAAAACCATCTCATGGAGTTTCTTTCTCGTTCTTCTCCATTCGAATCTACACTTTGGAACGAGTACCTAGCTTCACTGACGACTAGACTGACAGACTAAAATTCTATTTTGACGTTTCAAAAAAATACCTATGGTTTACTTGGAATAAATTACTATGATTTTGAAATCAGACTGCACTGTGAACACAGTGGCTAGGCAACTGGCTGCTGTGAAACTGGTCGCGGGATTAATTCCCGCACGGAATAACACTTTGTGTGATCCACAAATTGTTGTTCCGGGTCTGAGTGTGATGTGTATGTGAATGTATATGTTTGTTAACGCACCTACAACACAAGAGAAAATCCTAGTATGTCTCATCTTTAGCCCAGCTGTGGAACGTCATTGGTAACACGTTGCTATGAACATATCTAGTTAGTTTCAATATGAATCACTTCAAAGTCTTTGTTAAAACCTCAATAGTATTACAACGTCACCAAAAAACCACAAGAGTTGTAATAAATAAGTTGTAACATTAATCTATACTAATATTATAAAGAGGTAAAATTTGTAAGTTTGTATTTAGGGGGTAATCTTTGGAACCGCTGATCGGATTGCAAAAATTCTTTCACTGATAGATAGCTACAGTGTTCCAGAGTGCTATAGGCTATAAAACATCACGCTACGATTAAATGGAGGAGAGGCAGCAAGTGAAACCGCGCGAGAGTAGCTAGTTTTATTTATTTGTAATTTACTTCACTTTATTTCTGGAGCCTGTTAACTATGTGAATACAAAACTTTTTGTTTCGTTTAGCTCCTGAACTACTGAACAGAATACTGTGAAATTTGTTACGCAGATAGGTGGTGGCTTACTTATCAGAATGGCAGTTTAGGTATTATGATATTCAATTGTTTTAGTGGCAATGTCGAACATCTAAATCATTCCCATTGGCATTATACATACTTTCGCATATTAATAAAATCACCAAAATCATTGTAAACTAAACCATAGAAGTTCTAATTAATCTAATACATAAAAATGCATCATTTTCAATCAGTTTCACATGACTTCAAATCACCTAAACCAAGAAAACAATATGTGGATCACACACAGTGTTGTTCCGTGCGAGAATCGAACCCGAGATGCGATACACAGTAGCCAGTTGCTCTGCTTGTGCGATAACTGTGCAGTGATCCATATAAGTAAGACATTATCTATACTAATATTATAAAGAGGTAAAATTTGTAAGTTTGTATGTTTGTAAGTTTATAAGTTTATATGTAGGGAGTAATCTTTAGAACCGCTGATCGGATTGCAAAAATTCTTTCACTGATAGATAGCTACAATGTTCCTGAGTGCTATAGGCTATAAAACATCACGGTACGATTAAATGGAGCAGAGCAACGCGGAGACACCGCGCGAGAGTAGCTAGTTTTCAATATAAATAATAACGACAAATCACTCATTTGAACAGTCACAATCGTTACGTAAACTCTTAGGTATTGCTTTATACATATAATTAATATTAAATTAATATTGGTCTAAGTAAAATTATTGTACATAAATGTAATATTATTTTGTGAGTCATCAGTTCAATTCTGAAAAGAACTGATATATCCGTTGTATTAAGTAAACTAGTGTGACTGTACGCACGAAAAAGGTGACGACATTGTCCCGTTGCGCTTATTGTCGCGTTCCGCGAGCGAGAGAGATGCATGATCGGGTCGAGCGGTCGGCTCGAAGGTTCGGCCTATAGGTGCCCACTGCTGAGCAAAGGCCTCTTCTCATACGGAGAAGGTTATAGCATTAATCACCACGCTTCCTCAATGCGGGTTGGCGATTTCAAGTCCAGGTTTCCTCACGATGTTTACCTTCACCGTATGTCAGTGGTGTCTAAATAATCATAGAAAGTAGGTACATATAACTCGGAAAAAGTCACATTGGTACTTGCCAGGTTTCGAACCCACACCCTCATGCATGAGAAGCGGGCTCCTTAACCTCCGGGCCACCACGACATTTCACCTTTCGGTTCGTTAAACAGTAATGTTAGACGTGTTTACATCAAACTAGTGTCTATATAAAACGACTTAATAATAGGCAACCATCTTTTTCTTGAGGGAAGATATCGACATGATCTTTTGTCTCGCTCATGATGCGGTGAGGGAGAGTCTCGTTTCTTCACCTGCTAATAATTTCGCTTGAACCGCAACCCCAGAAGTATAGATGCATTTTTGACTGCACGGTTGGCGCGGTGGCTGGGCAACTGGCTGCCCGTTTGATTCCCGCACGGACGCACTTTGTGTGATCCACAAATTGTTGTTTCGGGTCTGTATGTGAAATTGTATGTTTGTAAACGCACCCACGACACAGGAGAAAAACGTTGTGTGGGACAACATTTTATTAAAAAAAAAACTTATTTTGTTGTCCAGAGGAAAAGCGGTACCATGACGTTTATACTTGACGCTGGTGTTCTGTAGGAGACTGTCAGATACTTCCCCAGTCGAGCTGACCCATCCAACTTGCATAAAGCAACTAATTGCATCCTTAAGGAAGTCCCTCTAATATACTGTTTCCGCGGCCAGTATATTAGAGGTATTTAAGTCAGTAAGAGTCTGACTTCCTCTCACCTCAACCTGGGCGAGAGAAATCATTTGATAATTGTAACTTTACAATTGCAAAAAAAATGAAATAAAAGGAAGTCCCAATTTCATCATTATAGATTCTTGACGTCAGTAATAGGAAAACTATAACCACAATTGGAATAATTTACTAATATATACCTACAATGTAAGTTTTTGTATGTATTGTACCTAATGGTACAAATACACCATCTCACTGTCATCCTCGCTACATCCTTGTTGACTGGACATCTACATTACATGAGCTGCTGTTTACATGTGGACATTAGCTCATGACGATACCTAAGTACGTGTGTCGCCTGGACAGTCAACCTCGCTACACCCTTGTTGACTGGACATCTACACTACATGAGCGGCTGTTTACATGTGAACATTAGCTCATGACGATACCTAAGTACGTGTGTCGCCTGGACAGTCAACCTCGCTACATCCTTGTTGACTGGACATCTACACTACATGAGCGGCTGTTTAAATGTGAACATTAAATTTAGCTCATGACGATACCTAAGTACGTGTGTCGCCTGGACAGTCAACCTCGCTACATCCTTGTTGACTGGACATCTACACTACATGAGCTGCTGTTTACATGTGAACATTAGCTCATGACGATACCTAAGTACGTGTGTCGCCTGGACAGTCAACCTCGCTACATCCTTGTTGACTGGACATCTACACTACATGAGCTGCTGTTTACATGTGAACATTAGCTCATGACGATACCTAAGTACGTGTGTCGCCTGGACAGTCAACCTCGCTACATCCTTGTTGACTGGACATCTACACTACATGAGCTGCTGTTTACATGTGAACATTAGCTCATGACGATACCTAAGTACGTGTGTCGCCTGGACAGTCAACCTCGTTACATCCTTGTTGACTGGACATCTACACTACATGAGCTGCTGTCTGTGTCTGCAATTGGTTATAAATTAATTTTACTCTGCCATCAGCCTTTACGGTTTAATAAAGTGTTAATAAAACTGGGATTTCGGAGTAATTATAAAGTAATTTCCTTCCTTGTATGCCAATGATAATTAATTTTTACACGATACTTAACCATATGTATGTATACTTGATTTTATTTTAATCGCAAAAATAAAGAGATAAATTTGTCCTATTTTTAAAGAAATCACGGAAAATAGACATTAATTCCACATTATGTTTGATTTCGATATAAAGTAGAACACAATCGTTTGAAAAGTTAATACCTATACATTTAGGTTGGTAAGCGGATAACTCAAAAACGCCTGGGCCAATTTTGCCATTTAGTTTTTTGTTAGTTTGTTATTGTCAGGAGAAGTTCTTAAGAAAGAAAATGTTTGAAAACTAGGGTGGAGAGCTTTGAAATAGGACCTCCTTTCGTTGTTAGCAAGACACTTGGCCAGAAACGTCAAACAAAAACCAAATAAAAGGTATCTATGTGCCCGTTAAATCCCGTAAAACAGTAAAGTATGAGATAGTTGACAGTAAAGTCCCGTGCAAAGCAAGGGCGTGCCGCTAAGTAGTTGTTTATTCAAAAACGGCACTAAAATAATTGAATTATCAAAAGAAATAACGAACGTATTGACAACTTTTCTGTTTTAAATGGAAAGTAATGGTCGTAGAAAAACTAAAAAATATCACTTGAATAACGAATATAAATCGGAAAAACCACCAAAAAACGTACGTATTCACTTTTTACAAAACGCACAAACTAACACTATCACAACTAAAAAGTCACAAAATAAAAATAAAAAATAAGATAAATAAATAGGTAAATAAAAACTCACTTTCGAAATTTATGAAATTAAAAAACCAAAAACATAAACAGACACTCACGAAAATAATAATCAGAAATATTTTTAAAATCATTTCCTCTCTCATTATTATTAATATAATTAAATAAAAATAAAAAATAATTTCCCGAAATAACGTCTTATTACTCATAAGTAAAGTGTCGTATTGACTCACCTTTCGATTTTACAAATAAAAAATTCGAGCACAAAATAATAATAAACGTGAATGCATCCATTTTGTGAAATTTTAATTTTATTTTGTGCTCTAGAAGCGACTAAAAATATTACTTCTGAATTTTATTTTGTAATTTATTTTAGTTACACGACCGTCGGACATTATTAGTCCCGATATACTAAAATGTAACAGTCACAATGACAATTGTGTCCTGTTCGGCCAGGACTGCATTATGACGTCACGAGGTTGTGAAAAACAAATATGGCGACGTCATTATTCAAATTAAATTGTAAACAAATCTTCTGTCGTCGGTATTACAATTTTATTTGTTTTTCTTTAGTGCGGTTAAGGATTTAATGTTAGTTAATAAGAAATGTTTTTGATTTCGCCAAGAAACTTATGTTGGGGTCATCTGACAAAAACAAAAATATGACATTAACTTCTGGTCTATATGTATATTGAGTTAGGGTTTTAGTTCATTTGAAATACCTAAATAAACCTATTTTCTACCAATGAGGATTTTGTTGATGCAAATGGCCCCTAGAGTGATATATTTGTTCTAAAAAATGTAATAAGTATGTAATGCTTTGTTGACAAAGCCACCCATGTTTAAGAGAGGGAAAGTATCATCCAATTGTTGTCAGACTCTTTAACTGACTAAAAACCGTTCCTTCTCTTTCTGGAGCCGAGTTATGGTACATCATTGCGCTAATACTTCGCAACTCTACCTGGACATCAGCCCTAGTGGATCTTCTCCGTCGTCAACTAATGACTTGAATCTTGGAGTTGTAATCGAGACCTTAGGTTTGGCAATCAACATGACGAACTGATGACCAGTTGATAAAAGAAAGAGTTGAAAAGAATTTTATAGAATCAAGCGTTACTCTGCGGAAATCCCATAAAAGCTGAAAAGAAGGCAAAGATCATCAGAAACCGCCCAACACGACATAATACCAGTTCTGTCGTTGACTGACAAATGCATATGTGATCTCTAAATAAAATATGAAAAGGAGTATTCAATGTATCAAATAAATGGATACATTCAATACTCCTTTTCATATTTTTTTCTAGGTCGTAAAACTCAACACGAATCAGTCAGTCGAAGGTCCAATCACTATCCCTTGCCAATCCTTAAATATCCCAAACCATTATCCCCAAAAGGACAGCGCCTAACCTAACCTAACTAATTAATTACTGACTTAAGCGCTAACCTAACTAATTACTGACTTTATTATACCATCAGGTAAGCAATCGGCCAGCTCGTTTGCCGGCCTAGACCATAAAAAAAATCAGTTTTTTATTGATTTTTTTTCACATTTTTTTTTAATATTACATAAGTACATATTACATAGTTACATAAGTACATATTTACTGGATCAGTAAACTAAAATTACAAAACTTATTCACTTTAGAAATGAGAATTGAATAGTTAAAAATTTTATTTATAATATTATTGTACAGGATAAAATTGAATAATTACAAATTATGCCTGAAGCCGGACTTATTATAGAAAACAATATGGTGGCTGTTTTAATAATGACAATTTTCCTGTTGAATCGAATGTAATTTGTTATAACATCACACTTTAAATGTTTGATAATTTTGGACGCATATTAAATCATCAGAATAAATAACTTATAATATCGACTTTCAGATTATACTTACATATAAGTCAACAGTCTATAAATGCCCACCGCCAAGAAAAGGCCTCTTCTCACACGTATAACCGTCACAACAAATTTATAGTTTTTTTCATTTAAAAAAGAATGTTACCCAACACTAGGATTTATTCCTGTGTAACTCGGAACAACAATTAATGTAAACTACACAAAGTGTTAAATCAAAAGTCCAGGTAGCTTATGATGTGCCGGTGAGCCCTGCTTGGGCTGAGCATCGCCGTGACCTCGGGGAAGTGATCGACGGCGGCGAGCTCTCGCGCCTGGCCTAAGTCGAGGCCATGGTTCGTAGCGAGAGGAACTGGGAAGCCGTCTTCTCTTTCTGCGAAGCAGTGATGCTCGCAAAAAGCAAGGGTAACTCGCCGCCTGACAGACGGCGCGTAAAGTTCCACGTGCGCCTCAAAGAGCCAGTAGACCACCACGAAGGGGACCCTCAATAACAGTTTGATACTGCCACGCGCCTTAGCACGAGCGAGAGAAGTGATATAATTTTAAAGATGTTGCCTCCTCCAGCTACAGTGGCGAGTAATGGTAGGTCTCAATTTTAAAGAACAACATGTACTCTGTACGGTTGCTTAAATTTGTAGTTATCTATACATCTGTACTTGTATAATATTATAAAGCTGTAGAGTCTGTTTGTTTGAACGCACTAATCTCTAGAACTTCTGTTTCGAATTAGACAATTCTTTTTGTGTTTGATAAGGCCATTTATCAAGGAAGGATATCGGCTATAAAACATGAAGCTACGATATGAAGTAGCCAAACAGCGGGTGAAACCGCGAGACAGTAGCTAGTTTAGGATAATGTGACGGGATGTTATTGATTGTTTAGTTTTGCGGTCGGTTTTTCTGACTTAATGTTGTTTATTAAAGTAATTAGTTATTGTTTTTGTTTTTATTCTTAATGCGTCATTTTTATGTGTAATTAGGTACTGTTTGAATTTTGTTTATTTCTTCAGAATGCAAAAGGGATACATAATCTTATATATAAAAATAGATCGCAAAATGTGTTGGTAAGCGCATAACTCAACAACGCCTGGACCAATTTTGTTAATTCTTTTTTTGTTGTGTTAGTTATTTACTGTCAGGAGAAAGTTTTTATCAAAGGAAATACTAGAAAAGTAGAGGGGAATGTTAGGAATAAAATGACCCTTTGATAGCGAGATAGAGGGACCCGTGCGAAGCAGGAGCGGGCCGCTAGTAACTTATATATAAAGAAAAGAAAATCATCTAATAACAAGAGGCGGAACCTGCTGACTAAAACCCACTCTGTGCTTCTCCTGCTCCAGGTTGAGGCCTCGGTGCCTTATTGCACTTCCCCGCATCACCGTCTGAACATCAGCCCTATAGGGCCCCGTCTGTAGTGGTCTATAATTGGCTCTATGAGGCGCGCGCGGAACGCTACGCGCCGTACGCTCGGGTCTGGTTCAGATCGGGCGGCGTACTACACTTGCTCGCCATTCGCAGACCGGCGCTGCATGAGCCTCTGACTAGCCCCTTATTGAAAAGTAGATAACGTGAAAGGATTGACATGAAAACAAAGTTGTTACCAGCAGAGAAGATTAGTAGTATTCCGGGCGAGAAAGAGGGATGGAGCTATACACCTTTTAAGGCTCCATCTCTTTTTCTCGCCCGGTAGATTCACGCTTTACACTTCATAGTAGGCCCTCAGGTTAGAACTGCGACTCACACGAAAATATAACCGCCATCAGGAGTAAAAACTATATACCAAAATCCAAAGTTTTAGAGTGGGAGAGCCATGCTTCGGCACGACCACATTTTTGTTTTTTTCCTTAGGTATATTGTCTGAATGTGTATTTTTATAATATTTAATGACATAGCCCATTCTTATTTTCCTCCCCAAATCTCTAAATCTCCTAATCCTAATCTCCAAAAGCACTCGTAACTCCTCTTGTGTTGCAGCTTGCAGCTGTCCATAGGTGGCGCTGATTGCTTATAATAAGGTTTGCTCGTTTGACCTCCATAATAAAAACATTTTTTTTCAGTGATATTATTAAAAAAAATTAATAGTGACATTTCAATGCTTACCAATAGAAACATATTAAGAAATATGAAATCAAACAGTACATCATACGTCTGTTTCATTTATGTTTTTTTTGTTTTCAGTCCTCACAGTATACCAGACCACTCTAGGTAGGTTTATATTTAAGGGTTTATTATTATAATATTTTAGTTTCATTTCAATTTTAGGCTTCTATTTTTATCGTGAAATATAAAAAAAAATATTAAAATCTGTTCTTCGTCTTGCCTTTATTACTGTATCAAAAAGTTTACCAACATTCCCGATAGATGGCTGTAGGTACCTAAAGCTTACAAATATGGTTGTGCTCATTTTAAATAATTTGGTATTTAATATAAATTATTGTATATGTATTTTGAAAATGTATTGTATTTGTATGATAAAAAAGTAAGTTAATTATAGTAACAAACAGAACAAAAAACGAAACCCTCTGTGGTTCCTTTTCCAAGAGCTTTTCTCTGTATAAACACGTCAGTAACCGTAGTAATTTTACGTTAATAATAATTATCGTATAGTATTAGCCCTAGAAGATAAATGAAAATATGCCAAAAAATATGGAACACAAAATTTAAATTACGGGCGGTCTAGAGACAGCTTACAAGCCAATAAAACGGTTTTTGGGAATATCTAGGAAAACGAGAAGTCCTATAAAAACAAGTTTAGGAATAAAATTGTAGGTACAAAACGGTCTACAATTTCTGTTAACACTTTTCTCACACAATAACAATAAAAATTCAAATTACATCCGTGCCCTGACCCGTTATTTATTTTTCTATTGAATTTCATTCTACTACTATTATATTCTTGATTTTTTCCTTTTCTGAATCTACACTGGTCTAAAATGAGTAAGTGGAAGCATTTTGTGGCAAAATGCGACTATTTTTTCACCATGAAAAAATAATTGGGAACAACGCCATCTATCTTGCTGTGCCCAAACCTTCCATAAATAGACACGCTTGCGAATAAAATCTCTAGACTTGTAACCGGCTAGACTTGTCAGTATTTATTATTATAAAGATATTTGTATGTAGATACTCTAACATTTGTGCGTAAAATTAGCGTTATAATTACGCGATTATCAGTCTTACCTATTTACTTACAAAAAAATTATTTACGTTACAATAACAAAAAAAAAAAATACAAAACAATAAATTATTTCACAAAATTCCATTTTTGAAATAACGATTTTTAAATCATTTTATGGAACTGTTATGACCGTTTCAATATCCGCAGCAGAAATAAAATTCCATATTTGAAAATTCTTAATTCAAACCGAGAGAATAGATAGTAACATCGTCAAGAGAGGGTTACAATTCTTTAGAACTGTGGTCATATCTATTCGGGCATAGAGATTTGGGCGGCTTTAGCGCATGCGTATAACACAGTACCCAGCTTATCCAGTCAGAGACAAAATGGCTACTCGACGGACCGTCTCCAATTGATTTTTTTCCCCACTAAACTAGTACCACACACATTAAAACCTCACCGTGTTTTAAATAATTTATTTAAAATTAACCGCGCATCATATGTTCAGTTCGTGTAAAAATAAATTGTGCTTCGAACGCAGGTTATAATCGTGCCGTGTACGTTCTTATATGTTAAAATCGTCGGTTTTTCTAACAAATGTATAGACTTAAGTGTTCTATGTCAGCCAGGAGTCGTTCCAGTATATGTAAGTACTAGTTTCTTAATGTAATTCACCAGTTTAGATTGGTTAGTGTGACCTAAAATCTGTCTAATGCAGTTAGTAACACGATTATGTCGAGGCGTCAACGATACCACGTTAGCCCGACTCTAAAAAAAGCACCGATGTATTTTACCGCATTTTTATCTGTATTTCCAAATGGAATTTATTCCAAATTCGAAAAATTTTATTTAAAAAAAAATGCGTTCGAAATGACGGTATTTAAAAATGGTACGAATGACATAACATTGATGTGATACATAATGTTCAGTACAAAGTGGTTTTCCTTGAATTTTAGGAATCCGCTCTAAGCTGTCTCGCTCTAGCTCCTGTCTCGCTCTCTTTCTTGCTGCTTTCCTGAATGGATTTTAGTCATGCGCTGTCCTGTGTAAGCGATGGCAGGACAATTTAGGTGAAATTTTGCATTTCACGAGCGAATTTTTCTTCGCTAATGTCAAAAGTTGACACACTTTAGCTTTCACGTTAACGTGAGCGCGTCAAGAATTATGTACCTATAAGGTTAATCTGATTATTGGCCATTGTAACTGGTGTGGTAATCGTATTAAATAATCTTAGATATTACTTGTGTACGTAAAAATATATTTCGGGGCCGATCCATACTTTGACAACGTAAGATATTCGTCTTAAAGAAAAATTTTTCCTTAAAAAATGTTTTCATTATTAATCGTTATTTTTGATGTTATTTTATAAAAAAAAATTCAAAGGCAAGAAAATATTACAATATTGAAAAAATAAGTCGATGTTTCAATTTTTTTACTTACTTAAGTTTTTTTTTTAAATATAACCGGTTTTTTTTTCATACAGTACACAATTCACGTTGTTTTATATATTTAAGCAAAAGTTACTTACAGACAAAAGAAAATTCTGCAATATTGAAAACAATAAATCGATGGGTCAATTTTCACTTACCTACTTAAGTTTTTTTTTTGAAAATTATAACTGTTTTTTTTTTCGTACAGTTCGTTCCACGTTGTTTTATTTAAAAACATTCCGTGAGACACACATTCTATTCTTGGCCACTAATTACTCGTTAGAAATTACGTCAATAATATCTAAAAATATCTACACTGTCGTCATGTGCAGTGCAAGACAAATTTTTGTATAGACTAATAGTGTTCTAAACTTAAATTATTAATTTAGTTTTAATTAGAATTTCACTGTCTTCATTGCACTTATAATTTGGTTATGTGTAAGCCTGACTACTTATTATTTTATAAATGCGAAAGCTTGTAAGTATGGATGGATGTTAGTTACTCTTTCATGTAAAAACTAATGAATGGATTAATATGAAATTTGGTATAGTGATAGATTATAGTCTGGAATAACGCATGGGCGTACTTTTTACTGTTGCTTGGGCTATATATTTTTTGTAATAGACATCTATATTTTTTTTGTGCTTTCAAAATATAAACTGAAATGCAACGACTACTTATCAAAATCTTTAAATTGTATCATTGTTTTCATTGCTATATAACGATATTCGTACGCTACTCTTCCCGCGGGTATAGAAAGTTGACAATCGTAAATTTGGTAACAAACGGAAAGCAATTTATTATTATAAAAATATTTTTATAAAGATTGACCTTTTATTAACGCCCGATTATGGTATAAAATTAATTTAAAAAGAATGACCATGAAGTTTCTTGCTCGTTCTTCTCCATAGGAATCTACACTTTGGAACGAGCAAATAGCTTCACTATAGGACAGACCGACAGACTAACAAAGTACGATGAACAAAATTGAACTTTTTGATATTTATTGTTTTTTTTTGACATTCAAAGTGCTTATATTATAACTGTCTATATGAAATAAATGATTTGACATTTGACTTTTGTCGTTTTTACTTTTGACAGTTTTGGAGATTATCGCAAACCATTTTTATATAGAGTACTGTTATGCTTTAGTTATGAAATCTGGCGAGTAATTGGCGATGATCAAGTAATACCTACAGCTTAAATACAGGGTGCTTTTGTAACTGAAATTTTCAATAATATTGCAAAGCTTGGACTATGTCCAAAATTTTCAGCCGGGATTTGCGGGTACAAATGCTGTAAAGTACCGCGACCTCGGCCCGGAACAACAGAAGAAACGGTGGTTTTTAGTCAGTAAGAGTCTACCTGGTCGTGGTGACCCGGAGGTTAAGGAGCACGCTTCTCATGTGTTACGGGTGGGTTCGAAACCTGGCAAGTACCAATGTGACTTTTTCCGAGTTATATGTATTTTCTATGATTATTCAGACACCACTGACATACGGTGAAGGTAAACATCGTTTGGAAACCTGGACTTATAATTTGTAATAAGTTTGAAATCGCCAACCCGCCTCTTCTCACACGGAGAAGGTTTGAGCATTAACCACTACGCTTGCTCAAGGATGATGGGTGATTTCAAACTTATAATTTAGAAATTACAAGTCCAGTTTTCCTCACGATGTTTTCCTTCACCGTATGTCAGTGGTGTCTCAATAATCATAGAAAGTACATATAACTCGGAAAAAGTCATATTGGTACTTGTCAGGTTTGACTACATGCACGAAATGCGGAAGCGATAAGATCAGAGCCACCACGACTATGTCACCTTATATTACAGTTAAGAATATTAATTCTTAATTATAACGTGCAAGTTCTAGAAGCAAGCAAAGTAAAGAAAAACATGCAAAAAGGTTGGTAATCATGGTACCTATAGTTTAACATAAATATTAAAATTAAATAATTACAAAACTGAAAAATGTACCTGAAACGTTAAAAAAAACATCTTATAAATGTTTAAAAGTAAAATAATTAAATATTTTCTCGAACAATTTTAGATTTTATCAAATAATATTACCTACTTACATCAAAAAATTTAATTAACAAAAAACATCTACACAATTATTTAATATTTAAGAAACAACTACATATTTACAGTTCTTACATTAAAATATATTATTTTTATATTTAGCAAAAGTTTAAAAATAACATAATTTATTTTTATTCATAGCAAAAAACTACTAAGTATATCCACTTACCACATATGTAGGTAAAAATAACTATTCACTTCTTATAATGAATTGTTTGCATAATTTAGATATGTTTAAAAGACAGTAAAAAAATGTCTAAGTTAACTTAAATTGTTAAACTGATCTCACAGGAAAAATCGCAAAAACCTCTCGAATCTTCTAGTTACATTGTCATCGAAATCGTTTCAGCTGTTTCGGAGATGGAACGCAAAAAAGACAAACAGACAAAACTATCTTGAAATCTTTTGTTTGTGTTCTGTTGGATTACTTATTACATTAAAGAGTTTTTTATAAGAGACTAGCTTTTTCCCGCGTCTTTATTCGCGTGGAATAGTGTAGACTTCTTGCAGTTTTTTTTTGTATAAAAACTATCCTATGTCCTTTCTCAAGTTCCAAACTATGTCAGTACCAAATTTCGCAGAAATCGTTTCAGTAGTTAAGGCGTGAAGAAAAGACAGACAGACAGTGTTACTTTCGCATTTATAATATTATACTATAGATAATATAGAAGTATAGATTAAGTTCAAACTTTTGTTCTTGTTACCTGATGGTAGGTAAGCATTCAATGCCGCCCATGGACGCTATCACATGTACCAACGTTGCTAAGAATAGTTCTGTGAGTAAATCCAAATAATTCTATTAATATGATTACACATACCAATTATACAATTAGATCTTATATTATGTTATGTCGAAATGTATAAAACGAATCGCTTCTTCTGTCCATGTATGCTTAAATCTTTAAAATTACGCAACGGATTTTGATGTGGTTCTTTTTCTTTTGATAGATAGAGCGATTGAAGAGTCAAGAAAAGTCAAAAGTCAAAATCATTTAATTCAATTAGACCCATACATGCACTTTTGAACGTCAAACAAAATTTTAAAGATATAAAGTGTCAGTCTGTCGGTTAGTCCTCTTAGTGAAGCTATTTGCTCGTTCCAAAGTGTAAATTCCGATGGAGAAGAACGAGCAAGAAACTCCATGGTTACTCTTTTTAAATTTTTACTCTTTTTAAACATTCTTTGATACATTATTTAGTTGGTTTGATTATGTGAGAACAGTGTAACGCGTGTATACAGATAAACATAAAAAGAAAATAACCTTAAGGACAAAGACAGTCCGGAGCAGACCAGTCCCAAGAGGAAGGTATAGGTGTAGGTATAATAGCATCAATTAAATAGTGGAGAAATTTAGTATTAGCCTTGTACCCGTGCAAATCCGGGGTGGGTCGCTAGTAACGAAATAAAAGCAGTAATTTTTGACCACCTTTCGACCTGACGTCAATACCCTTAAATAGGGGTAAAAATTTCAAAGCTTGCAACCCCAAAAAGGTAAAAGGTTGGCAAGACAATTATGTTGTTAGGCGGTTGCCTGACCCCAATAATTTGGGACCTTATACAGGATGTTTCAAAATGACCAATGCTACTAGATTTACAATCGCTTTAAAAACTCTTTTCGGGGTTATTAATATGCAAAAAAAGGTTTTAAAGTGCTTCAAAATACACAGTTTGATGTTAAAAAAATTAACTTTCTTTTTTTCTAACGGTGTACTACAAATTCCTTCTTGGACTAAAAAAAGTAGGTTATTAAACTTGATAAACCGTATCTAGTTTAATTAATTTCTATAACAATTAATATTATAAAGCTGTAGAGTTCGACTGTTTGCCTCCTTGAAAGCTATCTCCGAAACTACTAGTTCGAATTTAATAACTCATTTTGTATTAGAAAGTCCATTTATCGAAGAGGGAAGGGCTTGAAAACATCACAATACGGTCAACGGAATCAGCGTGATACCGCGCTTTAGTAGCTAGTGTTAATTAAGATTCAGATAATGCTGGCCATAATTTATTATCCTGTCTATTAATGTCTACAAGAACAAAGGTAAAAAAGTTGTTTAACAAATCCCGGATACGATCTCTATTTTGAGCAAGAGACACGCAATCTTACGATAAAATCTTTGTTAGTTTAATTTATCAACATCCAAGCGAACGCCGGCGTTCGCGCACCTTTCGTATTATTATTGTGTCTATAATTACCACGTTTGAAAGGTAAATATAATTGTCCAATAAAAAAGTAAAAGTAAGAACCCAAGTAGCGTGAGGTTTACATAATAAATAAATAAATAAATAAATGTTTTATAGCCTATAGCACTCAGGAACATTGAAGCTATCTATCAGTGAAAGAATTTTAGCAATTCGACCAGCGGTTTCGAAGAAAACCATAGGGGGTTTTCGTTTTCTTACAAACTTAAAAATTTTACCTTTTTATAATATTAGTAGGTATAGATAGCGACTCACGCGAATTAATCTGAGAACAGCTCTACAAGTTTCAAAACATAACGGAACTCTATACTCTCATGAAAAAGCGTGCTCGTAAACTTCCTTTGTCTCACAAGTCACAATATTTTTATTGTATTAGAGAGGTCGACAGACTAGCAGACGGATTACCTGATGGTAAGCAATCGGTGCCGCCTATGGCCACCCGCAACACCAAGGAAGTTATGAGTGCGTCGCCGGCCTTTTGGGGATAAGGGTTGCGGATAGTTAAGGATTGGGAAGGGAGGGGGGTAGGATAAGGGATTGGGCTTCCAGTAACCTCTCACACGACGAAACACAACGCTGTCGTTGTTTCACGCCGCTTTTTTGATCGAGTTTTCCCACACTAACCACACAAACATTTAAAATGAGTTATTCTGTGCTTTGTGTAAATTATTAATTTAGTCATTAACATGTACCTACGTGTTTGATAAGTACTAAGTAAGACACGTGGATGTGTGACGCAAGTACCAGACAGGACGCGACCTTCAATAATGCAGGGTCCTTCCTTGACCTTCAACAATTAAGACGATTATTGTAACAAGGAGTCTTTATTTAAAACTACACGCCCGGCTCAGACTCAAAAATCGCTAGAACTTCTGTGTACCAAGATTATTAAATTTAAATAATAAATATAAAATATATAATACAAAATATTAAATGCCGTGAAAAATATTTAGTTTTTATTCCACGACATAAATCCAGGCTTGTTGCTGGATGCGACCCCACTCTTATGCAGTCATGCATATGCACATGCAGCAAAGGTAACATTCGAGTCAACATCCCCTGAGGATGTCCTGTGGAGGGCGAAACACGTGTCGAGAATAGGTTTGACTGCGTGGCATGTTTTTCCGTTTTTGCACGTGTACATGTGTCTGTTCCTTTGCTGCATGTGCATATGCATGATTGCATAGGGTGGGATTGCATTCAGCAACAAGCCTGGATTTTTATCGCGAAATAAAAACTGAATATTTTTCATAACATTTAATTGTCATGGATTTCCCCAAAGTTACGCCTAATTCTATAAATTACTAGCTACACTCGCGCGGTTTCACTCGATAAAACTTCACGCTACAGATCGTAGCGTGATGTTTTATAGCCTATGGCACTTAGGAATATTGTAGCTATCTATCAGTGAAAGAATTTTGGCAATCCGACCAGCGGTTCCAAAGATTACCCCCTACATACAAACTTACAAATTTTACCTCTTTATAATATTAATGAGTGTTGTGAGTCACTCAAAGAAACCGGCGTGGAACTATCACAGCGATGTTTTTCACCGTGTGCGTGATGTAACGAAAGACCCAATGCTGCCTCTCCCCCATCCCTCCCTAATCCCTAAATCTCCAAAATCCTAATATAAAAAGGCCGGTAAACCACTCGTAACTTTTCTGGTGTGGCATGTACAAGGGGTTTGGGGATTTTGGATGGGGGAGGGGCCGCTTGAAGGGAATGGTTGGGTTTTTTATAAACTGTCAAGAACATTTTTCATAGGTTTTTTTTTTCTATTAATTATGTTTTAATCTATACTAATATTATAAAGAGGTAACATTTGTAAGTTTGTATAGGGGGTAATCTTTGAAACCGCTGGTTCAATTGCCAAAATTCTTTCGCTGATAGATAGCTACAATGTTCCTGAGTGCTATAGGCTATAAAATCATCACGCTATGATCAAATGGAACCGAGCAGCGGGTGAAACCGCGCGAGAGTAGCTAGTATAACTATAAAACCGAGTTAATTGCAACAAACAATTATTATAAAGCCCTTCGTCGGTATCACTGCTATAAACTTAAAAACTACTAAATTGATTTGCATTACGGGATACATTAATTTTGTAGGAGAAAATAATATGCGTTGTGCCTTGTCATTTATACCGCGTACATCGAGGGATTGGAACAGTTTGCCGGCTGCAGTCTTTCCGTCAGAATACAATTTAGGTGTCTTCAAGGCTAGAGTGAATAGGCTCTTAAAAAACTAGTGCGACTTACCATCAACGATTGCATCACTGCTTACCATCAGGTGGGATCGCAGTCAAGTACTAGTTTATTGCAAGTAAATAAAAAAAAACCTGCATTTTCATTTATTTCAATAGTGAGTCAACTTTTAATCGTCTCGCTATTTTGCGAATCGTCATGTAGCTCAGGCTGGTCACTTAATACATAACTTATAAGTCAGTTATAAATAGTAAAAGTTCACTTATTTTTTTTCATGTCAACTGTCATAGATTCAGAATGAAACAGGTCAAATATTAGTTAGTTATTATTAGAATTTATTGGTAAAAGTTAACTACGTACTTACGATAACCTCTGAAACGTAAATAATAGTTTATGTAAACATAGCTTTTTATAAGTGTTCAAAACGACTTAGACATTCAAATTATTATTAATCATTCTTTCTCAGCTTAACCTGTCTATTTATATTTACACAATGTCGTTGTGGCCTGAAAGTTTAGGCGCCCGCTTCTCATGTGTAACACCTGGCAAGTAGTATCAATGTTATTTTTTTGTGAGCGGAAAATCTTCATGTGTCTTCTCCCGCCCAGGGCCGGGCGGGAGGGAGTGTCAGACTCTTGCTGACTAAAAACCCCCCTGTTCCTTCTCCTGCTCTGGGCCGAGGTCGCGGTGCCTCATTGCGCTTACCCCGCAACCCCGGCTGAACATCAGCCCTTTAGGGCCCCGTCTGTGGTGGTCTATTGGATCTTTGAGGAGCGCGCAGAACGCTACTCGCCGCACATGAAGTACCAATGTGACTTTTTCCGAGTTGTATGTAGGAACATTCAATGAATATTTAGACACCACTGACACACGGTGAAGGAAAACATCTTGAGGGGAACCTGGACTTATGACTTAGGCTCTTAATAAACTAGTGCGCTTTACCATCAACGATTGCATCACTGCTTACCATCAGGTGGGATCGCAGCATGCTATAAGCAAGTAAAAAAATGATGTGTATTCACAATACGGTTATTGGTGTCTGGATGACGGACAGATAACACTTACCACCAGGTACAATACCTGGTGGTGCTGAATGCTCATTTGTCACCATATCATATAAAAAAAACATTATTTATTATCTTCACCTTCTTTCTACAGTACCTATAGGATGGTATTGACAACTTTATAGAGATATCTACTCATGGCCCGAGGGAAATCATACCGGAGTATCAGATCTAAATATACATATAAAGGCTGTATTGATATATTTTATGTATATGTAGTTTATACTCGACCAGAATGGATGACAGTCGATTTTTATAATCGCATTATTACTTATCACTAGGTACATAGAAAAAAACAGTTTAGATTTCTCTGTCCCTTTCTCTGTCCCTATGTATGCTTAAATCCTTAAAACTACGCATCGGATTTTGATGCGGTTTTTATTAGGTAGAGTGATTCAAGAGGAAGGAACTTGATAATAATATGTTTAAATAATCTTAAAAATTGCAGAAAATTTGTATCAGTATTGCCTCTGTGCAAAGCCAGGGCGAGTCGCTAGCACAATAAATAAACCATCATTTTCAATCACTCTATCTATTTAATAAGACCGCATCAAAATCCGTCACGTAGTTTTAAAGATTGAAGCGTAAACAGATATATAGGGACAGAGAAAGCGACTTTGTTTTATACTGTGTAGTGATAAGTATCTTAGTACATCCATGCTCCTAGTTTAATTAAAATCGGTTCTGAAGTTTCCATGATTTTTGACCTCAAAGTGTTTACAAAAAGCAATTTCACGAAAACGCTTACGCCGCTTACTTTTCATCTTAAAAAACCGAATCCACACTAACGCAACACAAACTAAAAATAGTCGAAAAAAACATCATCAAAAATAAAACAAAGAATGGCGGGTGATGATTAATAATTATATTCAGTAACATGATCGCGGGCGCATGTCACGCATGTCATCAGCAGATCTCAGGTCATTCGGATTGTGTCATCATAATAATGCAAAAACTTGCCAGTGTAGATTTTTCTAAAAAAAAAAATTTGCCCCACACTAAGATTTTCTCCTGTGTCGTTGGTGCGTTTACGAATATACAAATTTTACATACACATCACACCCAGAGCCGAAACAACACTTTTGGATCACACAAGTATTATTCAGTCCAGAGTCCTGATCCATTATTCATTCACTTCAGCCGGGATTGCGGGGTAAGCGCAATGAGGCACCGCGACCTCGGCCCAGAGCAGGAGAAGGAACGGGGGGGTTTCTTGTCAGTAAGAGTCTAACAATCCCTCTCGCCCGGCCCAGGGCGGGAGAAGTCATTTGATGATTTGCCCCTCACAAAAAAAGGAGTGAATTTTCACTGCTGGGGACCTATATTTTTTTATGCGATAGGACGGTAAACGAGCAGGCTGATTACCTGATGGTAAGCAATCAGCGCAGCCCATGGACACCCATTGATTGCAACAACAGTGGAGTTACAAGCGCGTTGTCGACCATAAGGGATTTGGAGATTTAGGGATTGGGGAAGGATTGGACGTGCGATAACCTCAGTCACACGGCGAAACACAATGCTGTGATTGTTTCACGCGGTTTTGCTGTGAGGCCGTGGTATCACTCCGGTCGAATCGTGCCATTCCTGCCGAAGAATTATACACTAGCTACTCTCTCGCGGTTTCGCCCGCTGCTCGGCTCCATTTGATTGTAGCGTGATCATTTCATCATTCTCTCATTTCTCTGTAATTCATTCATTTCATTTCTCTTTTACTCTAATTAACGACTACGTTTATTAGAAGTTTCTGATGACCTTTTAAACTGCGATCTCAAACGGTTCTGCCAATCGTGGCCAGGTTTATTTTATAATGCGGGCAAAGCCGCTGAAATAATCTAGTGTTGAATAGTTTTTGCGTATAATATTCTGTCTAGTGCGACACTAAACAGGTCGGGCATCCCACATGTGCAAATAGCTATGACGTAATTCAATTAAAAAATGTAACTCTGGAGCTATTTATTACGACGAATGTAATCTGCCACCATGATAGAACAATAAATGTAAGGAATTATTCGAAATATTACAATATACTAACTGTAAAAGAATGGTTATTTGGTTAAAATAAATAAATAAAAACAAAATAAATAAATCAATACATGAATCAATGAAATAAAATACACCAATAAAATAAAATAAATCAACAAAATAAATTAAATAAATAAAATAAAAACAATAAATACATTATTTCAAATTAGAAAATATAAATTAATAGACGTAGGGCGCCCTTCAGCTACATGACTTACGATATCCGCAGGACTGCTGGCAGTAGTTGGATGAGAAGAGCTGAACATCGAGCTTAGGGGCGTGTAATTGGGGAGAATTATGTCCGGTAGTGGACGGGATCAGGCTGATGATCATCATCATGATAGGATGATGAAAATAAATAGAATAAAATAATTAAATTAAATAAATAAAACAAAACAAATAAATGAAATAAACTATTTTAACTTTTCTCAGTGAATATAACGTAAGGCATTATTTTAAATTAATTTATCTTGAGATTTTATATTGAAGCCGTTAAAATAGGCTCAGGTTTAAGAAATTGCTGCTGTCTGTCACAATAGGACTTTCTCCTGCTTGCTTGCCTGAATTGCTGTTCATTAATCTGGATCTTAACGGCTGGACCGATTTGGTTAAGTTTGGTCATGAAATATTTGTTACCAGCTTTTGCCCGCGACTTCGTTCACGTGGCATAGTGTCTACCTGCAGATTTTTGTTGTAAAAACTCCTTTCTGGAGTTCCAAACTATGTCTGTACCAAATTTCTCAAAAATAGGTTCAGTAGTTTAGGCGTGAAAAAAAGACAGACATATAGAGTTACTTTCGCATTTATAATATTGGTTTGAATAGTCCTGGGAAGGTTCAAAAGGCGAGAAAATAGTATCAATTGACTGTTAGGAAGTATAAAGTTTGCCGAAGAGCTGGTATTATATCATATTGACGTGCAAAAGTTTATGACCTACTTACAAAAATATATTTTACTAATAGTTTCATTGTTTCATATTTATTATGAAATGACATTTTGACATTAAAATGAATTATGAATAGGTATTGACATTTCCTTTGATTGCATAGTAATATTGCAATTAATTAAAATTTATATTTCATTAATTGTTACGCCAATTGACGTAAAATCTTGGAGTAATAAAACATTACGTTTACGAATGAATGAATAATATTATTTGATTTGCAATTGATGTGTAAAAATTGATTAAAATTAAAGTAATAATTACTTTAAACTATTTCTTAGTACCTATATAAGTACTCCAGTCAGGGTTGAGGGGGGCAAAACGCAAAGGTACCGTAGTCTCGGTCTAGAGCAGGAGAAGGAACGTGGCTTTTAGTCAGTAAGAGTCTGACACTCCCTCTTGCCCTAACCAGGAAGGAAAAGCATTGTATGGTCATCTTACTTTTAAACACCGTACCAAGCTTTTGTTGCAAAACCAATTTCCAAGGATTGCGTTGGTGACAGATGATTTTCGGCTACCGTAAGCGCGGGTCTGCGGACGGCGAGTTAGGGCAGCTCACCGCCCGACTAGAACCAGATCCGAGCGTACGGCGCGTAGAGTACCGCGCGCGCCTCAAAGAGTCAATAGACCACCACAGACAGGGCCCTATAGGGCTGATGTTCAGCCGGGGTTTCTTGGTAAGCGCAATGTGGCGACGCGGCGTTACCTGCAACAGAAGAAGGAACGGGGTTTTTAGTCGGTAAGATTCTGACACTCTCTCGCCTTACCCTGGGCGGGAGAAGTCATTTGAAGATTTTCCCCCGACGAATAAAGGACTGCGTTGGCCTTAAAATCCGAGACACAGCAGAAGAACAATAGATGTGCGAACGCCGGCGTTTGCTTAGGGTTTGGTGAACTAAATAACTCGGAGTACGGTGCTTAAAGTCGGACAGAATCACTTCATCATACCGATACGTTGTGTTTCATCATTAACACTATTGCATAATATTTATTTAAAACCAATCTATTTTAATGTAAACTACTTTTTTCGTAATCTGTTGATGTTACAGACGAGCCACTTTTCGTTGCTGTCTTGAGCGATTTAGTTGCTTGTTTTAAGTTGTGACGGCCATTCTTCACATTTCTATATTTAAATTGTAAAGAGGAAAGATTTGTTATTTTTTTTTTTTTTTGTATTGATTAGGTTTCGAAACGGCTTGACACCTTTACCTTTTTTTTAAAGTTAGTAATATCCCACACTCCCACTGCTGGGCAATGACCTTCCCATCTCTCTTTCACACCTCCCGATCCTTCGACCGTGTTCACCTGTCTCGGCGGTAGGCGTCTAGATCGTCACGCCACCTTTTCCGTAGGGCAAGCCTGGAGGTTGGGCTTCAAATGAACATGAGCTAGACTACCTATGACCAATAGCGTGCTATTGGTCATTTTCATTGGTATTGGTAATTGTTATGGTCGTTGTTATTGGTCATTGGTCATAGCTAGTCTAGTAAATATGAAACATAGGGTCGAGGTAGATGGGCAAGCTGATATATATTTACTTGGGTCAGTTAGTTTCTTTCCGAAACAGGCAAGAGAAGGAAATATTACCTTAACATTACAAAAAATATTCGATTTGATTTGAAATTTTGGGGACGGGGCATGAATCCACTAACGTGCCCTTCTTACTGTGTGGAGTACTGCAACCACATATGGGCAACTGAGATGACTTTGGATTCAGTGGAAAGGGGTGCAAAGAGGCTGATTGGTGATCCGGATTTAGTTGGGTCCAATCTTTAAAGTCTCGAGCACAGGCGCAGAGTAGCCAGCCTTGCGGTTTTCTACAGGATGCATTTTGGAAAGTGTGCGGACGATGCGTTTTGCCTGGTCATTTATACCGCGTACTTCGAGGTATTGGAACAGTTTGCCGGCTGCAGTCCTTCCGTCCGAAAAAAGAAAACAGCGATTATTTTTAATATGAATCAGAAAAAGTTGCCCGTCTGTTTGTTAACATAGCTATTTAGATATAGCTTTTACGTTTGTAATCTATTAATAGTGATCTTCGACCACCAGTCTACTACTCAGCTAAATTTAGAATCAATTAGGACTAACAGTTTTTATCTCAATAGATAGCGCTACATTGGATGAGCTTGGATTTTTACTGGGCGAGACAAGTCATTTAATTATTTTAAAAGTGATTTGGATCACATTTTGTGTGTTGTATTACATCATAAAATGATTTCGTCGCCATAACACAGTTTTTAACTAGTACGGGAGGTAAAGATTTTTTTTTACATATACCGTCAATGGACATTTATTATTCCTTAAGTGTGGGAGAGCCATGCTTCGGCACGAATGGGTCGGCTCGAACGGAGTGATGCCACGGCCTCACAGAAAACCGGCGTGAAACAACCACAGCGTTGTGTTTCGCCGTGTGAGTGAGGTTACCGGAGGCCCAATCCTTCCCCTCCCCCAATCCCTCCTCAATCCTTAAATCTCCAAATCCCTAATCCCTAAAAGGCCGGCAACGCACTCGTAACTCCTCCGTTGCGGGTGCCCATGGGCGGCGCTGATTGCTTGCCATCAGGTAATCCGTCTGCTCAAATAAAAGAAAAAAAATCCTTCTGTTAGTGTTATATTAAGTCAAATACATAATTGCGATGATATGTTATCGCGCGTTAGTATTAACTGATAATTATTGGGTAGTTAAGATTGTACACCTGTTAATTTTTATATGTACCTCATAAACAGTGTTAGTGAAAACTTACAGAATAAGTTAAAGTGCTTACAATAACATGCCTCTACATATTTGAAGTTGGAGTATTCGTTAAAAAACATAGTAGGTTATTCGAGAAAGTTAGCGAAACCAAAAAGTATATGTCTAGAGACCCGAGTAGGTTGGTTCTTCCTACGATGTCCACTACCTTGTTTAAAACTTGTGGAACTGTTACTGTATGGATATCCAAACATTTAACAAGGTACCTAAACCTGTAAGAGAACTACCACTATGTAAATTTAAGAATGTACTGAAGAAATGGCAGAGAAATGTTTCTATTCTTTAGCTGATTATATGGCTCATAAGGAAAACTATTAAAATAATTTAATTTCTTAATCTTTATTATATATAAAAATGGATCGCAAAATGTGTTGGTAAGCGCATAACTCAACAACGCCTGGACCAATTTTGCTAATTCTTTTTTTGTTGTGTTTGTTATTGTCAGGATAAGGTTCTTATAAAGAAGAAAAAGTAATCTTTTGATAGCGAGAGAGTTGGACCCGTGCGAAGCGGGGGCGGGCCGCTAGTTCCTTAATAAAAAATCTAGCTCTATCTAGCTATCTCAAAAGGAAAAAAAAATATATTCTATTCTATTTCTCCCGCCCTGAGTCAAGAGAGAGATAGAGGTTGTCAGACTCTTACTGACTAAAACCATCCCGTTCTTTCTTCTGCTCTGAACATATTGGGCCTCTTGGGCCCTACCTGTGGTGGTGTTAATGGCTATGGCAGCCAATTGGTAGCAAATTACCACTCACGTACGTAATTAAAATCAACGGCCTCATTAATTATTATGTTTTTGGCTTACTCACGTAATTATTTGACGAGGAACTCGACTAGTTTCAAGCCATCGAGAAGCTGAATCGCGGCGGAGGGCGCGTTTTGCCCGCAGACTCGAGTAGCCGGTAGCAGCGCGACAGTCGCCGCGTCGCGTGTCGCGGAATGCTGCTCATGAATATGAGCCTCTAGCACGGCTTGAAACTACTCTAATTCCTCGTCAAATTATTACCTGGTTAAGCTCAAAACATAATTATTAATTTCGTATGTCTCACGAAAGTTATAATAAAAATCAACGGTTTCATAAAAGTCATACCGAGCGTACGGCGCGCAGCGTTCCGCGCGCACCTCAAAGAGCCAGTAGACCACTACGGACGGGGCCCTATAAGGCTGATGTTCAGCCGGGGTTGCGGGGTAAGCGCAATGAGGCACCGCGACCTCGGCCCAGAGCAGGAGAAGGAACAGGGGGGTTTTAATCAGTAAGAGTCTGACACTCTCACTCGCCCTACCCTGGGCGGGAGAAGTTATTTGATGATTTTCCCCTCACAAAAAAAAAGAGTTGTGTGTACCTTTCAGATTTTTATGACTCTTGAAACCACCTCGTGCCTTCTTCTCCAAGCCCTCGCGGATTATTATAGCTCTTGCACCAGTAACCCCGGATGGTTTCAATTTCGATTGGTACAAAGTTCGTCTATATTATACATAATAATATATAATAAGAAAATCACTTGTCATTTTGTACATACCAACATACATAAGAGTACATTGACCTAATGACATGAATTTTGTCCAACACGGTCAGCAAATAAAGGATTGCAGTGAAATGTTGATTTTAGATTTTTTGGCGGCGGATTTACATTTGGCAAAATTGGTCATCCGATGTTAAAATGAAAGCAAACAAAACTGCACCTTATGAATATGCTAAAGTGCTTCCTGTTTATATAAGTAATAAGATAAAAATTATTTTGGCAAATTTAGACCTCACACACTTCCGAAAATTTATTAATCTTATAATATAGGTACACTATGCAACACATAAATAAAAGAAAGTCGTGTTAGTGACACTATTTATAATTCAAGAACGGCTGAACCGATTTGGCTGAAAATTCGTAGGGAGGTATCTAAGAACTGGGAGAAGGATATATGATAGGATAGAGTAGGTAGTGTAGGTTAGTTAGAGTAGGTTAGGTAGAGTAAGTTAGGTAGAGTAGGGTAGGTAGAATAGGGTAGGTGGACTAGGGTAGGTAGCCAAATGACGGGAGCAACGCCGCGGGTAAGAGCTAGTTGTTTAAAAAATGCATCATATACTCGTAGCAAGGCCAGTGACCCACTTGTGACTTCTCTGGTGTTGACGCCTTGTTTTCATAAGCGATGCTGATCACTTATCACCAGGATCATGATCCATCTGCTGTTTTGCCATTCTAGTAAGCGTTTGCCATTATACTTTATTTTTTGAACAGTTTAATTCATAGTACTAGTGTTAATGTAGCTGTACTGTGTATGGGAAAATGTCGTTTTGCGGGAAAGTATTTAATCTAAACTAATATTATAAATGCGAAAATGACTCTGTCTGTCTATCTGTCTTTTCTTCACGCCTAAACTTCTGAACCGATTTTTGTGAAATTTGATACAGACATAGTTCGGAACACGAGAAAGGACATAGGATGTTATACCAAAAATCTGTAGAAAGTCACTATTCCACGCGAACGGAGTGGCGGGCAAAAGTTAGTAAAAAATATTTCTTTGATTTTCTAGGAGTGGTTTGACGAGAGTGATGCCACAGCCTCACAGAATGCCTAATTGATCAATCCTCAAATCCCTTAATACCTACAAAAGGCCAGCAACACACTAGTAACCCTTGGTACTCCTCAGATTTTGCGAGTGTCAATGGGTGACACCAATTGCTTACCATCAGGTACTAAATCCACTCGTAAGCCGATTCTACCCCATAGAAAATAATCGCAACACCGAAATTGTAGGATCTCTATACTTGGCAAACGGGTTGGAGATAACAGTTTTAAACGTTTAGGTTTATCAGGGACGGTTATTGTTTGGACAGTCTCTTAGTGGGTCTAACAGAAGCGGGAAGAGCAAGAAGCACTGATAAAGCTATCTCTTTCTGCCATCATAACACCAAACAAGGATTCTACTAATGTATTCAGTCTATACGTGACAAATAGTCCCCAAGCGCCACACAATAAAATACCCATTCACAAAATTCCAAGTATTTTATAGCAAATTTTATTGTCATGGATTTTTATTGTGCATATGGCATGTAATAAAAATTTATGTGAATACAGGCCATGGTTAAGGGTTAACGTCGAGAGATTATCTCCGGCCATCGTAAACGCGGCGGACGGCGAGTAAAGGTAGCTCGCCGCCCGACCAGAACCAGACCCGAGCGTACGGCGCATAGTGTTTCGCGCGCGCCTTAAACAGCCAATTAATAGACCACCACAATCGGGCTTACCCTGAGCGAGAGAAGTCATTTGATGATTTTCTCCTGACAAAAAACAGGGTTATAGTGGATTGTTTATAAGGATATGTTTGTGAATGCGATCTTATCTATCCACACACGACAAAACAAGAAACCCGTTTTTTGGCGTGGTATCACTCCGTTCTATCCGAAGCCTGGCTCCATCACACTTAAAACTCCTCTCTACATTACCCAAAGGTTCGACTGGCACAGAATGCCTGTGGCATTAACTCCACCTTGTACAGTTAGGGTCAAAAATGCAGTTGCACTTAACCAATACTAAAGTGTCAAATTTTTTTTATTGTTGTGGGTCCGAGGTTTCTTGACTGACTAGTTTGTAGCATATATTCTTGAGATTGTATTAAAAAAAAGTTTTACTCATTTTCGCATTGGTAGAGTGCAATTATTGCACTTTTAAACCTAGACAGTATATGCACGTTGGTAGAAAAGTTTTAAAATAAAATACTTTACGTTTCGTTGTTCTGCTATCCGTACTTAAACTGTATATAAATGGCTCCCTATTTACGGCCGAACGATTGAGGATATCCTGTGTAGGGCTCGCTAAATATGTGATCTTTGTCCTCTATTGTATAAGCTGAGATGCAAGTACTTTCATAACACACTTTAGACGATAGAGTTACATATTTTTTAAAATTCATCAAAACCCAAGTGAACGCCGGCGTTCGCGCACCTATTGTTATTCTATTATGTCTCAAATTACAACGATTTTTTTTAATACGTTGCTCCTCATAATTGTCGTGATGGCCCGGAGGTTAAAGAACCCGCTTCTCATGCATGAGGGCGTGGTTTCGAAACCTGGCAAGTACCAATGTGACTTTTTCCGTGTTATATGTTCTTTCTATGATTATTTAGACACCACTGACATACGGTGAAGGAAAACATCTTTAGGAAACCTGGTATTATAATTTCTAATTATAAGTTTGAAATCGCCAACCCGCATTGAGCGAGCATGGTGATTAATGCTCAAAACCTTCTCCGTGTGAGGCCTTTGCACAGCAGTGGGCACTTATGGGCTGATGATGATGTGATGTATGATTTTATCCTCTGTCGTGGGTGTGTCACACCCAGACCCGGAACAACAATTGGTGGGTCACACAAAAAGTTGTTCCGAAGAGTAGAACCCGCGACATGTTGCGCGGCAGCCGCTTGCAAAGCCACCGCGCCAACTGTGTAGTCGAAGCATGCAGATTGAGAAGTTAACATATTTCCCGATCAGCTTGTTTCGTAAAAGCTGACAAGGGCACTTAGGGAAGCTACAAAAACATCACACAACTAAGATATGGGGTGGACTGCATCGCTTGCGCTGGATGTTGAACCTTCTCTTTATCTTAACAATGTCATGTCAAAGTCAAAGAAAAGTCACATTTTTTTTTTTTACGTAGAAGTTCGGCAAACGGGCAGACCGATTACCTGATGGTAAGCAATCAGTGCCGCCCATGGACACCACGAACATAATCTATACTAATATTATAAAGAGGTAAAATTTGTAAGTTTGTATGTAGGGGATAATCTTTGGAACCGCTGGTCGGATTGCTAAAATTATTTTACTGATAGATAGCTACAATATTCCTGAGTGCTATAGGCTATAAAACATTACGCTACGATTAAATGTAGATGAGCAGCGGGTGAAACCGCGTGAGAAAAGGTAGTTCTGTAAATAAGAAAGGCATGTAATGACAAGTTCTTACGAAATATTTTCTACATTACATACTTTATGACAATATCCATCTAAAAATAAATATACGCACGTGTGTGGAAGAGCCAAGCTTCGGCAACAATGGGCCAGCTCGACCGGAGGGATACCACGTCCTTACAGAAAACCGGCGTTAAAAATCCCGAGCGCTATCTTTCCATTTAAGTGTGATTACCGGAATCTCAAACTTTATCACTCCCCCATTATCAAGTCCCTGACCCTCGAATGGCCGTTGACGGACTTGCATCCTTTCCCTCCTTCATCCCACCCCAATCCCCAAAACCCCTTATCTTTCAATTACTGGCAACGCACAAACTACTCTTTTAGTATTGCGGTTGTCCATTAGCAGTGCTGATTGCTTACCATCAGGTGACTAGAATGCTCATTTGCCGCACTTTCCCATTCAATTTGGAATATAATCCACACTAATATTATAAACCTAAAGCGCCATTAGACTGCACGGTTGGTGCGGTGGCTGGGCAACTGCCTGCCGTGCAACGTGTCGCGGGTTCGATTCCCGCACGGAAGAACACTTTGTGTGATCCACAAATTGTTGTTTAGGGTCTGGGTGTCATGTGTATGTAAATTTGTACGTTTGTAAACGCACCCACAACACAGGAGAAAATCTTAAAGTTTTTACGTTTCTAAAAAAAAAGTAAAATAATGCAAAAGTAATTCTGTCTATCTGTCTGTCTTTTTTTCACGCCTAAACTACTAAACCTAATTCTGTGATATTTGGTACAGGCATAGTTTGAAACTCAAGAAAGGACATAGGATAGTTTTTTTAACGAAAAATCTGCAGGAAGTCACTATTCCACGCGAACGAAGTCGCTGGCAAAAGCTAGTAAATCGTATTTAAATACTGTTTATCAATTCAGTACATTTTTTTGGGTATTTTATATATTTTTTCTACAAAGAAAACATTATAAATATCTTAAATTTTTACACACATAATAGATCATTGTTATACATATGTATACTTACAATAAAAAATTCCATCTGAAGTATTCTATTAAATCAAGTATGAAAGATTACAATGCAAAAAATGCATAAAAATATCTTCTTTGTCGTGTGCATGTTTACCTGCATACAAATTTACGTTACTTAGGGCCGATTTTTCAATAGTCAGATAAAATGTTATCTGAGGAATAAAATTGTTGCTGTCACTGTCTTATACAAACATTCTGACGCGACAGCATCATAATTATTACCCCAGGTAACTTTTATCTGACCATTGAAAAATCAGCTTTTCGGTACGTGAATCCTAAATAAAAATACACGCTTAAAATACTAAGCTAAGCTACATATGTGATAAGTAGGCAAAGGAGCAGACGGATTACCTGATGATAAGCAATTAATGTAGGACGTCCACCCGCAAGGTGGACAGACGACCTGATTAAGGTCGCAGGAAGCCGCTGGATGCAGGTCGCTTCCAACCGGCCTATCTGGAAGTCAATGGGGGAGGCCTATGTTCAGCAGTGGACGTCCTGTGGCTGATATGATGATGATGATGATGAAGCTATGAGTGCCACGCATGGACACCCGCAACACCAAAGTAGTTGCGAGTAGGTTGCCGGCCTATTGTCAGGGTTTCAGAGGTTAAGCGGGAGGAGGGGTGGCGTCGTTTTCTTACCATCAGATGACCCTGAGATAGACAGATTGACAGTCTAAGATAAATGTAGTTGAATTTTCAATTAACAAACAATTTAATACCTCATCATCATTATCAGCCTGATCCGCCCATTGCTGGACAGCGGACACGGACCTCGATGTTCAGCTCTTCTCATCCAATTACTGCCAGCCACCCTGCAGACATCGTCAGTCCACCTAGCTTGAGGGCGCCCTACACTACGACTGCCTAGACGTGGTCTCCACTCTAGAACACGTCTACCTCAAAAGTTCTTCGACAAATGTGACCTGCCACTTCAGTTTACTAATCCTTTATTTAAAGGCCTCGTCTCAAACAAAGAAGGTTTGAACATTAATCACTACGCTTGCTCAAGGCGATTTCAAATTTATAATTAGAAATTATAAGTCCAGGTTTCCTCACGGTGTTTTCCATCACTGTATGTCAGTGGTGTCTAAATTAATAATAGAACGTACATGGGTATAGCTTGGAAAAAGTCACATTGCTACTTGCCGTATTTAATACTAGCTACTCTCGCGCGGTTTCACCCGCTGCAAGGCTCCATTTAACCGTAGCGTGATGTTTTATAGCCTATAGCACTCAGGAACGGTGTTGCTATCTATCAGTGAAAGAATTTTGGCAATCCGACAAGCGGTTCTAAACATTACCCCCTACATACAAACTTACAAATTTTACCTCTTTATAATATTAGTGTAGACCTAATCCTAGTACCATATCTAGTAGTACATATGTATTAAATACATAATTTTAGTAAATAAACATGAATTTGTATGTGGTAAAAAATCGTCATCAGTCATCATTAAATAAGACAAACATATCTATCCGAATGTAAACTGAAGGTTAATTAATTTAAACACCAAAGGCTATCTTTACTGTAAAGGCTAAATTGTGTTTGTTGGTCTGTCATTTAGTATTTGAGAGCCATGCTTTGGCTCGACGGCAAACGAGTAAGCACCGCCCATGGACACCCGCAGTAATGGACTGGAATGGAGTTACAAGTGCGTCAGTGACGGTTTTAAAGATTTAGGAATCGGGGGAGAGGAGAAATTGAACCTCCGGTAACTTTACTCACACGGTTAAACATAACTCTGTAGTTATTTTCTGTGAGGCCGTGGTATCACTCCTGTCGAGCCGACCCATTCGTGCCGAAGCATGGCTCGCCCACACTTTTTTTTTAATTCATTTGTTAGACTTCCACGTTGTTTAATATTCTTGGAAAGGGATACATGAGATACAATTGTGGACCCGGTTGGGCACAGCAAAACACAAAAAATGGAGGCAGAGTGGACGACTTTATAATTTTATTATATAACTTATATCTAATAATAGCTCTTACCCGCGGCGTCGTCGTCATTTAAATACCTACCCTACATACCCTACTCTTCCTGCCCGACTCTACCTACTCTACCTACCCGACTCTACCTACTCTACTCTACCTACCCTACTCTACCTACAATACTCTACCTACCCTACTCTACATACCCTACTCTACCGACCCTACTCTACCGACCCTACTCTACCTATCCTACTCTACCTACCTTACACTACTTACTCTATCCTATCCTATGTCCTTCTCCTGGCTCTAAACTACCTCCCTGCCTTTTTTCAGCTAAATCGGTTCAGCCTTTTTCAGTTATAAGTGGAGTAACTAACACGACTTTCTTTTATATATATAGATTAATACAATCTTAATCTTTTTTCGTTGTCATATTTCCTTAGATAAAATAGGTACAAATGACAATAAATTATATAGGCAAACCTGCAGACGACACACTAGTATACAAAAATGGCGAATCCATGTTATCACCTTGACTTACTGACTACGTTTGTCGATTTTTTATACCAAAGTCAATGATTTGACATTGAAATATTTATGGCCCTAATAGGTATGTTAGGACGTTTTAAAGGGTTCTTGTTGGGTGTGGTAGAATATATTTGCTCACCGCTCTTTTTCTTCCTTGGTTTAAGAGTTAATTAAGGCTGGTACTTTTGTCCCATGCTTCTTCTTGAATAACCATCCAATGCTATGGTATTGCGAACGTCAGACTTTTTTTGTCAGGGAAAAATCATTATAATATGATTCTCTAGACTCCCAGCCGGGGTGAGGCGAGAAGGAGGGCCAGTTTCTTACTGACTCTAAATTCCCCGTTCTTTCTCCTGATCTAGGCTTAGAACGCGGTGCCTCATTACGCTTGCCCCGCAACTCCGGCTAAATATCAGCCCTAAAGGGCCCCGTCAATATGAGCACCTAGTTTCGCTGTCGAGCAGACTGACAGACTACTATTCTGTTATGACGTTTCAAAAGTACCTATATGTGGTATAGTTGGAATAAATGATTTTGATTTCTGTGATGATGGTCTATTGGCTCTTTGAGGCGAGCGGGGAACGCTACGCGCGATACGCTCGGGTCTGGTTCTGGACGGGCGGCGAGCTACTCTTACTCGCCGTCTGAAGATCTAATGTCAGACTCTTACTGACTAAAAACAATCCGATACCTTCTTCTGCTCCGGGTATCAACCTTCCTCCTTTCATAGGCTCTTCTTTAGATTCCAGCACATTAATATATCTGGTTATACCTATATAGGCGGGCAGACCGTATTACTTTTTATTAATTTATAGAATTTAGGTAAACTGTTCTTGAAAGAAAATTTCGTGTTATCCAGCTTGCTTCGTAATCTTGTGTGACATTACAATGTGACTTTTTGGAGTTATAATTAAAACCTCTGACTTTTGGTAAAGAAAAAATTGTGAGGAAACCATTTTTTTTTCTTCAAATGCGTTCTCCCACCCTCGTTAGGGTAGGAGGGAGTGTCAGACTCCTTATTGACTAAAAACCCTCCGTAACTTCTGCTCTAAGCCGAGGCCGCGATGCTTTATTGCGCTTATCCCGCAACTGCAGCATTGTTAACAAAATTAAATCTAAACTTATGTGACTTTAAGTCAAATCGCCAATCCACCTTGAGCAAGCGTTGAGATTAATGTCTCTCTAAAACCTTCTTCATATAAGAGGCATTTACTCATCAGTGGGCACTTATGGGCTGATGATGTGAAAAAATAATAATGTACATTTTCGAAAAAGAGTTTAGAGTGAAAGACGGGAAGAGGCAATTTTAAAATTCCATTAAAACATAAAATTTCAAATGACTACTCAATTTCATTCAAACCCCTCTTCATAAGAAGTGGTCTTTGCAAAGCAATGAGCTCATATGAACTGATAACAACGATAATCTAATACTCATTTTTGTGACCCATTTTAAAAGAGACCAAGCAGCGCTCTTTTCTATACATGGTAGACCCACATTTTTTAAACTGCGACCTCCCACCTACCTGTAAGCAATACACTAATTAATAACCAATCAAAAAATAAGTGTGGGAGAGCCATGCTACGGCACAAATGGGTCGGCTCGACCGGAATGATATCACGTCTTCACAGAAAACCGGAGTGAAACAACCACAGCGTTGTGTTTCGCCGTGTGAGTGAGGTTACCGGAAGCCCAATCCTTCCCCTCCCCTGATCCCTAAATCTCCAAAACCCTAATCCCTAAAAAGTCGGCAACGCACGTAACTACTCCGTTGCGGGTGTCCATGGGCAACGCTGATTGCTTACCATCAGATAATCCGTGAGCATGTTTGCCGCCATTATGACATAAAAAAATTTGAAGAATCGTTGAATATTTGACAGAATCTGCCTTTCTGCCTCTCGCCACACTCACGGTGGATGACGTTGTTTGAAGATTTTGTCCAAAAGATACTTTGAAAAATAATTACATCATGCCCGATGTATCTTAAAACGCTAAGAAAATTTGCATGTTTAATTCTAGTCTCTACCACTGGTTTTGGCCGCAGTACCTAGGTAAAAAGTCTACGCGTTATTCAAGACTAAGTATAATCTATCTCTGTGCCTTATTTCAATTTTATCTGTTCAGTAGTTTTTACATGATAGTGTAACAAACATCCATCTATACTTACAATTTCTCACGTTTATAATATTAGTGGGATAAATCCAAAAAATAATATTATAATTAGTATCAAAACTATGCAATCCTAACATTCTTCTTCGAATTCTTATTTCGAATTTTGACAGATAACGACAACCTCTTTAGTCGTTTGTGTTAGGCCACAGACTATTGAGTGCATGAGCGTTATAAAGCTGTGTTTAGTAATTGGCTGGCCAGTAGCGATTACGACTCAGCAGCGATCGGTTGTTGACGGTTGCTCACTTTCTACACGTGACGTCAATCGACAATCGCCGTCGCGAGTTTTTGTGAAGTGATATTTCGATTTACAATTTTTGTTTTTAATTTCTAATGTACCTTGTGGCTTTTGTTTTGATTGTTATTTTCGTCATCGCCATAATTTGTATATAAGGTCTGTAATTTTTTTTTTATTATGTGCATTTTCTGTGTTATGATTTTTTTTAACGGTCGGTATCTCCACATATCATAATTATGATAAAAAAATAATTGAACAACAAATACTAGGTACTATTATGGCAACATAATAATATTTATATGCTATATTACATTAGACTACCTATAGTAGAAGTACTAAAAAAAAGTCTAAAATATTTCCCAGAATTTATTAAATAATGAATACGTAATTTCAAAATTTTTGGAAACATATTTTCATACGTTGTTAAGTACCTAAGTTACTTTATAACAAAAAACAGGTATTTTATATACAAAAATAAATTGAATTTCTACAAACATTTTCGACATACTGAAACAAATACAGTAGATATGAAAACCACGCTTGCATTTCAATTCAAAAATACAATCAAAATTGAATAACAACTAGGGAAATACGCAAAATAATAAATTCACAATAAATCATTAAATAGTATGTACATATTCATAATATTAAAAGCATACAAGAATATAATTTTATTTCACACTAGCTTTTGCCCGCGACTCCGAGCTTCCTGCAGATTTTTGGTAAAAAAACTATCCTATGTCCTTTCTCGAGTTTCAAACTATGTCTGTACCAAATATCACAGAAAAACGGTTCAGTAGTTTAGGCGTAAAGAAAAGACAGACAGACAAACATACTGAGTTACTTTCGCATTTATAATATTCAAGTCGTTTTGGAGTTATGCACTTCAATATAATTATATCGGTAATTCCCTTTTTCCTATGGGAAAACTATGTCCAGCAGTGGGTATGGGATCGCAGGTCAAGCGCAATTAAAGGTACCGCGGCTTCGGCCTTGAGCTGGAGAAGGAACGGGGACATTATTAGTCAGTAAGAGTCTGACACTCGCCTCATTTGATGATTTCCCTCCACAACACTGGATCAATATTTAGACTGCACGGTTGGCGCGGTGGCTGGGCAACTGGCTGCCGCGCAACGTGTCGCGGGTTCGATTCCCGCACGGAACAACTCTTTGTGTGATCCACAGATTGTTGTTCCGGGTCTGGGTGTGATGTGCATGTGAAATTGTATGTTTGTAAACGCACCCACGACACAGGAGAAAATCCTAGTGTGGGGCAACGTTTTTTTTAAAAAAAAAATATTGGCTGATGCTGATGATAATTACGAAAGCAATAGGAAATATGAGGAAAAATTTATTAATTTTAATGTATTTAAAATACATCGCTGAAAACATAGGCTTTGAGTTACTTATCGTATTAATTTTATCAATTTAATCAATATTTTTTTACTAATATGTTTTATAAAACAGGTGATAATGAAAATGCCTACTTATTTCTGTATTTTCCTATCGATTTTATTTGTCAGTTGGATTGCATTTTTTCGTTATCTTCTATACAATTTTACATTTTATTATATTTAGTTTTCTTAAATGTAGCCAACATTATTTTGTCAGCGTAAATTAGGTTTAAGGGGGTCCAATCTCAAAATTCCCAATACCACTTATCCCCACAAGGCCAGCAACGCACTTTAAGACAAATTTCACTTTTCTGTTAACATAATGCAGTTTAGTGCACTATTGTGTGAGTAGAAGTGCAATATGCACTTTCTCATACATATTTAACTGATTTTATATTAGCTTTTATAATAAATTAAAGAATAAAACTTTAAATCCAAACTAATATTATAAATGCGAAAGTAAATCTGTCTGTCTGTCTTTTCTTCACGCCTAAACTGCTGAATCTATTTTTGAGACATTTGGTACCGACATAGTTTGGAACTCGAGAAAGGACATAGGATAGTTTTTAAACCAAAAATCTGCAGGAAGTCACTATTCCACGCGGACAATGTCGCGGGCAAAAGCTGGTTGATTTATAATTCAAAAATAAACATTCTTAAAATCTCAATGTTATTTAAATAAATAAACATGTTAATAAAATTTTAATAACACAACATAAATAATATAAATCTCTTCAAAATTATTGCCAAAAAATAAAAATTAGACCTAATAAATTATCATAAACAAATAAATTTAAATTTGTACACGTACATGCAAGTTTAAAATTCCGTGTTCCAATTTTAATTATTTAAGAAAAACCGTTTAAAATTCGAAGGTCAAAATCTTAAAATTAGATAATATTCTGCAGATTTGAATTTAAAATAAGGTTATTTCTTGACTAATGACCTAGGCAAAGAAGGTGTGCCTGTAGAGGTCACGGTTCGATATCCGGTCTGGTACTTATTTATATTTATGTTTTTATTAGCTTCCGATGTTATATAGTATTAATTTATTAAGTTTGTTTTACATATATAGTCTTGGTTTATTCTAGCTTATAACTATGAAATATGTGGATAGGTTATGTGGGACTGTGAGAGCCATGCTTCGACATGAAATGGCTTGGTCAGAGAAAACCACCATGAAACCTCATGTCGTATTTTGCCACATGTGTGAGGTTACCGAAGACCCAATCCTCAACACCCTAGTCCTTGTAGGTCAGTGTGATGTCTAGATTTACACATTTCTACCATTATTACACAAAAAGTACATATAGGTATGACTATCTATATTATCCAATATTATGACTACATAGTATAAAACAAAGTCGCTTTCTCTGTCCCTATATCCCTCTGTAAGCTTAAATCTACGCAACGGATTTGGATGCGTTTTTTTTTAAACAGAGTGATTGAAAACGATGGTTTATATGTATAATAACATCTATTAGGTAGTTTCCTAGGTCAAAAATAAATTAATTCGACGTTTCAATACAATAAAATATTGAAAAATACCTATACTTTTATTCATCGATCGATCGATACACCAAGTTTTCGATATTTTGTAGCTTATTATTAAGAAATAAGTAAGCTATTTGACAGAAAAGTACTATGACGTCATAACTCAGTTTTTCATACAAATTTCATAGAAAAGAATCGTTTTTGACATTTGGATAAAAGTATTGAATTTGACTAGTTGGAAACTACCGTATTAAATATTGGAGAAATTTAGTATTAGCATTGCACCCGTGCGAAACAGGGGAGGTTGTTAGTTGTGTAATAAAAAATTAACCTTGACTCTAAATACATAAGGGTTAATATCACGAAAACACTGCACAGACCGACGGAGTTTCAAATCAATATTAATGAAGTAGAAAGTGACATTAAAGTCACGCACTAACACGGAGTATTAAACAAATGGAGGAAACAATTATTATACAGAGAAATTATTAATTTTTTTGTTTTTGTAAAAATTAAAATATTTTGCAACACGTATGTATTAGATAATCTAAATAATGAAAATTAGCTCAAAAATATTATTGTAAAGTTATTTTACAAAGTGTAGCCATTTCATTCAATTAGGTACAATTGAAAAATAATCAACCAATGAAACAAGCATAAGTATTTACATTTAGTTTTTTTCTCGTCATTAATACCTCTGACAAAGTATCAAGATTATACCGCCATCTTGTTTTTTTTTTGACAGTACATGTCAACTTAACAAATGTTACATGTTATTAATGTTACAATGTCACAAAATGACATCAACAGTTTTGTTCGTTCCAGTAAATTATTCTTTATTTTTTATGTGTATTGGAACAATAGTTAATTTATTTTATTACTTTTCATGCACGTGACTGCAGTTACTTTGACTTTTCCTGTGCAATTTAAATATTACTTGCATACTTATATAAAAATATTTTTAACACAACTAAGAAATCGTTAAACACCTTCTTAATAAAAAAAAATAATGTGTTTGTTGCATATACATACAATTTCACATACACACCACACCCTGACGCGGAAAAACAGTTTGTCAATCACACTTAGAGTTATTCCGTGCGAGGATCGAACTCGGGACACGTTGCCTAGCACCCAGTTGCTCAATCAAAGCGCCAATCATGCAGTCGACTAAAATAACCTTAACCACAAGATGGAACTAGTTCAAAATAAAATAAAGAACAATTATTCTTATGTTGTTCGTTACTCCATTCGTTGTTATTCCATGTAATACATACAATCCACTTAACATTCACATAGCATAGCTCTCTTACTTTCATTAGGAGGTAAGCAGATATCTTGCATAGTCGTAACATCGCTAATACAGAGTAGAAAACATCTGTCACCATCTACACAACTCCATTACCTAACTGTTCTTGTGGGTGTCTTCTCCATTCGAATCTAGAATTAGCAACGAGCATCTGGCTTCACTAATGAACAGACTGACAGACTATTATTATGTTTTGACGTTTCAAAAGTACCTATTTATGGTTTAGTTGGAATAAATGATTTTGATTTGTCTTTGACTTACAGAGTAGAAAAAATTTGTCACCATCTCCAACTACTTCCTCATATACTGTTCCCGTGGTCATCGTAAGAGACGATAATTTGGCAAAGACTAGGAAGCAGTGACCTATATGAAAAATAAATCTTACTAATATTATAAATGCGAAAGTTACGATGTTTGTTACTCAATGACGCCAAAACGGCCGGACGGATCTGGATGAAATTTGGCACAGGCATAGGATCCACTCCGGAATAGGATATTGGCAACTTTTTATCAACATATAATGCGGGTGACGAAGCGGGCGGAAGCTAGTTCGCTATATATTCCACTATCAGAGACTATTCAAACTTTCTTGCATCCGTAACCCTGGCTGGATATCGACTTAGTGGTCTGATGACTCTTTAAGATTTTTATAGACCGGTCTCTTCATAGTTAGCAAACAGCGCCAGTAATGGAAACACCAGAGATCTCTTGAGGCATCTTTTTCAGGCTTAGGGATGGCAGTGAGGATTTGAATTCTCTTAGGTAGAACAGGCCTTTAATTAGTCCAATAGTGGACCTTCATAGACTGATGATGATGTCACTTTTGTAAAAATTGGCCTTTTTGAAAGGTGTTGCAGTAAAATTAATATTTGCGTCATTCTATTAAATAAAGATTGGTACCTGATAATGATTAGTAATACTATGATTTGATGATAAAAATGACTAGCCGAAGATCCGCT